GATGCTGGCCCACTTAATCGTGCATTTAGCATTGACCCAACCTCCTCTTTTGACCAACACAAAAAATAACTTACAGAACTTAGTTGAAAACCAAATAATCATATTTTTATTATTGTGATCGAGCCATCGACAAGGTGCTGGCGCCATCGGCAATTTGAATGAGCCCTCGAAAATGTGATGGAACCAACAATTAATATCACTTATTTGTGATAATATGATGGAGTGTAACCGTTATACGTAACTGATTAACATATACAATTCAATGTCATATGCATCGTATCACTGGGTTGACATATTGAAATAAAATACGCCATTTGATTATTCGAATTCATTATAATTGAAGTAAAACATCTTTGTATAAAATATTAACAGATAAGGCACATAAAAATGGTTTTTTACTTTTAGTCGGTAAAGTTTCAGTTTTTAATTTTGAAATTTATGTAAATTTCAGGTGAAATCTCGACATGAATAAGGGGATACAAAAAAGATTTTCATGTGATGTGTGTGGAAAGACCTACGCCATATTACATCATATTCACCAGCTAAAAAGTCCATATTTGTTCAATATTCATGGAAATCTTCATTTCTTCATTTTTTTTTTTTTTTTTTTTTTTAAGCATTTAATAAATGGACGACAAACGCAAATATGTATAACCTGTTTTCGGCATTTATATACATATCGACAGCTTGGTGCGAAAGGGTTGTATCTCCTTCTTTATCTCATATGAGTTACAACCCTTTCGCACCAAGCCCTCGATATAATACCTTTCTAGAGCATACAAATTTTTATGAGGAGTCGAGCGCAGAACAGAACAGAACAGAATTTGTAGATTAAGGCCACCAACCATTAACGCATTTTTATTAAAATATTTTAACAAAAAGACCACTGTCAAAAAATAAAATTTAAACCCGGTTGGTTAATTTATGAAACGCGTTTTATATCGTCGGTCAGCAATAATCCCTTAAAGACTTTAATGATTAGTTTCTAATCATAGAACAAAACATATACTTTATTTTCAATTGTTTGTCATATGCGTAAAACAATACGTAGAACCTATGATATCTAAGGAAGTTCATAGTAACAAGGCAGCTTTTATATATAAGTATAAATTAAACAGTACATTTTTTTCTGTTTCCAGCATATAAATGAATTTCAAACACACTATGTTTTGTATAGTAGTATCGGTTTATATATTCATTTATTTTTAGTAACAAATGGATAAACTAAATGACAATGATATTCTCCTTCCATAATAATTCAATCTTTATACAATCATTGCCTGTGTATCGGACAAAAGGTGTTATTTTTGTTTCCTGTGTAGAAAAGTTATTTACTTGACATCAGTAATAAAAAAGAAGTACTTTCGGTTATATATGATATAAAATGACTTTGGTTAGAATTTCGTTTCTTTGAAGAATGTAATATAAAAATCCAAATATGTACTTTTTTACAATTATTTCATTTACAAAATTAATTCAAATATTATTTTACAAAGCTAAGCATACCAGTTGGTAAGTTTCACAATCAAATGAGTCGAGTAAGAAAAATGTCCACAATACCTTATTATGGTAAGAATAACATTGAATTATAATCACATGTACTATGTAAATAATAGTGTGAATGAGTGATCTGAAATTTTTAAAACTTGAACTAAATGGTACAAAAACGTTGATAGATGAATTTAAAAAAAGCTTTGTGGAGAACCTTTCAACAGAAGTAAATTCAATCAAAGTATGACAACTGAATTCAGTCAGCCAGTTTACAAAATGAATAATGCGACTTCTTAAATTGATTAGTAAATTTAATTACAAATGCTTCAAACGTTTGATACCTTCCAATACTCTTACATTTTCCTATAAGTTGATCGGTTGTCTTTAACACACTGTCATCCTATGCAAATATTTCGGCTTAAAAAATCGGCAGATTTAATTCAACATGTTGCGTATTCTATTCTTTGTTGATCGTGTTTTGGATATAAGATAAGAGGATTTCTTTTACATAATGCGATTATGATACTGATTAGATATTACGTTTGTAACAATTTATAGGAACATGCTTTTTGACAATTTAACTTAAAGGAATAAGAATGGATGGATTGATGTCTGTCTAACATAAATATTCATCATTTAAAAAGAGGAACCATGACAGTTTTCCTATTGACATCAACCCTATAAAAGAGAAATTCGTGTTTAAAGACACTATTTTTTACTTGAGAAATAAGTTCATGGGCGCCGCCATTTTGGCGTTCTGTCATTCTCGCGAGACAGACGAGACCGAGATTGTGACGTGTTATACCCACTTCCGGTATAGGTGTACACGCTGGTACAACTGAAATATATCTTGATGAAGAACTTATTAATTTTTTGCATACATTATATATTATCAATGAAAACTTATGGAACTGAATTGCTTTAATTAATTAATTGAAGACGCTGCGACATTAATTATCATTTGTCTGATTTTCAAGCTTGATGATGATCCCACCACATGATTTAAGCAATGACTGCTTAATTTTCAAAGATAAACCATAAATTAACTTTGGGTACTATGAGAAACTTCTTCAAATTGACGATATATCCTTTTATTTTATACTTAATTTTCGCTAGATAAGCTGTCCAAATAGGGTACATCGCCGGTCATGTATCTTTTTTCAGGTAAAATATCAGCTAAATCCAATATGCTGAGGACGCCCATTCCCCTATAATTACGCATATTCTCGGGTTTATCCAGTTCCCTAAAGCTTTTTTCCACGTTATCTACTTACCAAATTCCTTTCCCCGACAGATACGCATTTCTTCTACCGTAAATTTAATCCACGCCACAGAGGCATACAAGGAGCAATAAAAATCGTCAGTACACAGTGTGACAGGAGCATTTGGTGCAAATTAGGAACAATTAAAATGGACAATGCGCAGTATTAGACATAAGTATTAAGAACCAGCAATTGTGTGAATAAATTATGCAAATTAGATTTTTGAGCAGCCAATAAAAATGATTTGCCTGCAGTTAATATTAGGCTACGATTACGATGCGCAGCATCATACGTTGACAGACATGTTAACAATTTACTTTTCAAAAAAGTTGCTTATATTTTTGAAATGTGTACATCAATTATAACATATGTTCACACCTTTAAATTTGAAAGTCAGAATCAAACTGCAAAAAATTAATTATATGTACTATTAAGAACACGTTTTAGTACAATGTAGTAGGGTTTTTATAATGGAAGTGGCTAGCGTACGGGCCCGTACGGCTAGCAAAAAGATTTAGCCGTACGTGAGTCACGTACGACTAGCAAAGACACGCTGTATTGGCTAGCCGTACGGCACTTTTCAAAATTTTACGGAAGTCGAAAATGCATATGTTATTTTATGACTTTAAGCGAGGATTTTAACCAAGAAACAGCATTAATTGTCTTTGGATGTTAACTTTTTAGAGATTAATCGCCTTGATCGCTATATATATCGATATTTGTCATCGCAAGATGTCGAGAAAAAATAGCCTTTGCTTGCATTTACACCAATTGAAATAGTTTACAAATTTTTGATAATAATCTTTTTTGTTACATTAAGTTTAATTTTCGACACCTTTTATATGAAAAAAAACAACAAAAAAACAACAAACACTGAAAATGATTGTTGTTAGGCTCTTGATAATTGCGACAATTACCGACGGTACTGTATAGAAGTTTGTCCATCAAGGAAAGTTTGCATGTTCCGTGAAAGGCATTCTAAAATTCTATTGTCAGTCCCTGGATAGGTTTTAATTAAGGCTAATTAATTGATTGACTGTGCTTTTATGTTCGATATTTATCTACTGTTTTGAAAATTATATAATTATTTTTGCATTTCACCGTTTTTTTTTTTGTTTTGTTTTTTTTTCATTCAATGATCTTTTTATTTATTTATTCCACTCCGATCATTTTTTATTCGATCCATGTGCTTAAAATTAACAAAATTGATTTAATAATTCATACAATTTTATAACGCTCGACTTCCATATAATTTAGAAAATTGCCGTACGGCTAGACAATACAGTGCGTCCTGGCTAGTCGTTCGTGACTCACGTACGGCTAGAACTTTTGGCTAGCCGTACGTTTCTTTATTTTTTATAATAATTATTTTTTTTATGATATTGTTACGTATTTTGAACCATAAAAAATCTCCTCTACACCTCCTGTGAAAATTAAATTGTCTGATCAATACTTTATTATATTAATATTTCCTTACGATTCAACTAGATTTATCATGAATCTAAAGATGTGGGGAAATGACATCACGCGCACCTGTTTTTATACGGCCAATACACAAACATGGCCGCGCTTACCGATTTGTAGAAATCGGTGATTTAGCGATTTAAATTTTGTTATCATTCGTTTAATATTATTATTTGGCGGCAGAAAATTTGCAGACTTATTATTTATAGTATTCTTTTTCTGAAATCAAGTTTTTATTCTAACCTTGTCTTTCCCTTTAATGTAAAAGTGATGGAATTAATTATCAGCTTATCAAATGAACGTTATTTAAATAGCATTTCACATTTATGAAACTGTACATGTCTCCCTCCTGTCTGGCATTCTTGTTGTCAAAATGTATTGTACGAAGAAACCAGAGTGACTAAAATAATATCCTTTTCATTTTTGAAACAGCAAAATGTCGTTCATGCCAAATCTGGACTATATAAGGCCATGTGTGTAAGAAAACATTATCGAAATAGGCATGCTGCAACCTCCCATATCAAAGTCATGAATTTAAAGTACCACAGACACAAATAAAATTTCGTATTATCTTATCACGGATCGAAAATGAAACATTTGAAACTGAACGTACGTGGAAATCACCTTTACGGACACCCGCACTAAAATCAACGCTGACGTGATAGTTGAAAAAATGGGAACCCAGATAAGGTCATCCAGCAGGGGGGCTAAATTTATTAACTTTTTATCTTACGTTTTTTTATAGCTACGTTTATTATAGCTACGTATAAAGCAAAACTAATATGATCTTAATGTGTTTATTCCATTCAAATGATGTTAAACATGAACAATCTAAAACGCATCAGTTAAGAATTAACATTTGGTTAAATATCTTGAAAAAAATGATCCATCGGAAGCATTAAAAATAGCAAAATTACATGAAAAATGCAGATTTCTATCTATATTCAGTTAACAGTGTGTATTAATGGTCCATTTTCAGTCACCAATATTAATTACCATTATGTCTTCTTAATAGATAGATTCTAGAAATGTCAATAACAAGTGAAAGAAATACAAAGTTTCATATCAGATAAGTTTATAATATATTCATCAATAGTGGAACTTATTATCAATTAAAGGTTATATTTTCTATGTATACATGCAACCAATTCAAACTTCTACATACTAAGATATATGAGGAAACTTTTTAAAAAAATTTCAATGCGAATCCAGGAGAATAGAAAGAATGACAATATTAAATACAATTCATTAATTTTTATTAAGTTCTAATATACATCATCCAGATTGTTAAATTCTCACGATTAATATTTTATTTGATTCTTGGACTTTATAGTACTAATATCTCAATGTTAACTAGTCAATTTGTTTACCTTACCTTTTATATAACTAAAATATGTTGTTGGTTTTTTTGTTGGGTTTTTTTTTTTTTTTTGGGGGGGGGGGGGGGTTATAAAAATATGAATTTCACAATATGAATTTTAACAGTAAATTTCTAAAATTATCAATGACATTTACGTCAAAATAGGATTCATTCTTCTAAAGATTTAGGATAAGAAGAAATTACAAAAACAGATGAAATTAATACTATCTCAAAAAGGACTATATTATTACAAACACAAAAAGTATACTATCTCAAAAAAAGAACACAGTTCACAATAAGTCAAACATATTACAACAATTCTTGAAAGTGTTTCGTGTTGTCTGTTTTTGTGTGGTTGTTTTCTTTTCTTCAAATGTTCACAGTTCCTTTGCATGTTTTGAAAATCGCTTGACATTATATTCAAAAATCATCGAAGATTTGGTTGGTTAGCAACTCTTTCACTGATGGTCTTTTCTGTTTGTCAATCTGAAGACAACTTCTCGTCAAAGCATATAATGAAGATGACAAATATTTTGGGATCGGCGGTGGATTTTCAGCTTTTCCAATCTAACAATAAACAATAAAAAGGTTCTGTATTTATGTTCTTATATGAAATTTTATTTAAGAATATAAAGACGCAATTCAAATCAGAAATTTATCTTATAACAAATTTAAAAAAAAAAACACAAGTGTGCATATGTTTCGGTTAAAAGTTTGGCAGAAATAATTTGTTTGTTTTTAACTTCTTAATGTAAAATTGATAGAAATGTTTACCTTAAACATAAGAGACAGCTCTTCATTTTTGTTGCCACTAGCGTTCCAAGGTAGTTTGCCTGTAGTCATTTGTATAATACAACAGCCCACTGCCCAAACATCACTTGCAGCGCTATACAATTGCTCCCGAATAACCTATACAATTTAACAAATTTAAAACTTTATTAAAATTATTACTTAAAAACAATATAATGTATTTGTTAATCTTACAATGTTAAGTAATTTTTTAATTTTAATACTTTAAAACTTGAGACCATTCTACATTTGTATGATGTACTCATTCGCGAAGACTGTATTACACGTGTTCAATAATATTCTTAAAGCATTTATATCTTTTTAGTCTTTAATACCGCGTTTTATGCTAGACGTTCAATAAAAAGTTTCGATTAAAAGAGCAGTTTTTACTTTGGTTTTGTTCAGACCGATACCGGAAAAGTCATAAAGTAACACTCAAGCTTGCTGATGAGAGAGCACCTCAGGTATCCCACTGTGCATTATTTCAGGCACTGACGGGCACCGGAGTAAAAGCACATACCTTCTATAATCTAGAGTAAAAATCGACTTAACTTACCTCCGGCGGCATAAACGGCACAGTTCCTACAAGCTGTTTATCTTTATAGCCATTGACAATATCTTTAACCTCAGTTGCACAGCCGAAATCACATATTTTCAAGTCATATAAGTCTTCAGAAAGAAGCAAGTTCTCTCCTTTTAAAGAAAAAAACAATACAATTATGTAAGGTTGAAAAAATATTTACTTTTTCCTGTTGATGTCACATTCCTCATGCACAATTACTTTAGTCAACTCATTTCTTTATCCAATAACGTAAATGCATCACAATCAATGAAACATATTTTAAAGATGCTTTTCACATTCATCAAATGTGTGTAACAGTATAGTTTTGCTAAAAGTTCGCTGCGGTTAAAATTGATATTGTTTTTGTAAAAATATGTTTACTAAAGAATACAAATAGAAAATAAATGACAAACAATTCGCATATCTTTATCTTAATAATACACGATTCTCAGGCAGCAAAAGTGTTATAGTAAAGCGAAAAACTACAATAAAAATAACAGAAAAAAGGTAAGTGTGTTTGATAAGCATACTCGTACCTTTTAAATCTCTGTGTAGTATGTTCACAGAGTGTAAGTATTCCATACCATCTAGTATCTGAACAAGGTAATGTTTAATATAGTCTTCTGGCAATCCTCCCTTGCGGTGATGCAAATAGTGACTGATAGTGCCACCTAAAACAGATTAGGTATATTGATATGGTCAAAATAACATTTATTTGTTCAAACGGTCGTCAACTTTAACAACGCTTACACACAAACTGCCGACAGTTTTACCAAAATTAGACAATTTGAGTTTTGTTAAAGCGGTCAGGATATGCACAAACTGAAAAGTATTAGGTTGCTGATTGGTGGCAGAACTAACGGGGCATTTAATTAGAAAAATATAATTTTATTAGAAAAATATAATTTAAATCTGGGAATGGGATGATAGTTTGAGCATCTATGAGTCCCACCACGCTATATGTAACCTATTCATGCAAGGAAAAATATCATAATAATATTAGTTTTGTTTCAAAACCTCATGTTCATCCTTCACACGAAGCATTAAATTATCTAACTAGTCTCTTATACAACAGACAAAGACTTTTTACCAGACATATATTCCATGGCTATGCTGTATTTTCCTTGTCCATCATCAAAATTATCCCAGTAGCATCGGACGATATTCAGATGATTAAGTCTTCTAAGCATCCGAAATTCTTTTCTCATTTCCTCTACCTCTTGATTGTGTTTTCTTTTACTTTCAATCTATAAAAAAATAATTTAAAAGCATTATTTTAGCTAAACTGTATTATGGCATGGTTTTTGTAAATGTATAAAATATATTATACTATTAAAAAGATAATCCAGAGCAACGTGCTAGTATAGTAAAAGTTTTCATATTAACATAATTATTTTATAATATCAAATAATGTCTACCTTCTTGATTGCCACATTTACGGTTCCACCATATTTCGAAGAAAATTCAACTTGAAAGCATTTTCCAAATGCTCCTTTTCCTATCTCCCTTATTTCCCTTGGTCCTTTCTGAAATTGATAAAAGCCTATATTAAATAAATGAAATGTTATGCATATGCTTAAGTGAAAACATCTTTTAAAAAGAATAATGATGTAATTAAGTTACTTCACATATAATTAAACTGAATACAAAAAAGATATAAATCATTCACATTTTTTATTAAATGAAACAAAATAAAATTATGAAATACGTACCGCGCGTTTTGATTTCAAACTGACGAAATCTCCTTCGTTTGGCATTTTGTGATTATCAACGAGCACTTTGTCATGGTTCCCTGTTTCTTGCTTGATGATATCTCCTTTAATCTGTGAAATGGCCAGATTGGCCAGGTATTCTTCATTTAGGTCTAGTGACTGCTTGATACATATTTCTTCATTCTGAACCTGTGGCTGATCGACCGATTCAAAATACTCCTCAGCGATACATTGCTTGTCATGCAATTTTAGTGCTATTGTGGTTTCATTTAGTATTTGTTCGTCCTCTTGCCTCTTGTCAACAAAATCTTCAAAAAATACTTTTGGCTCCTTTTTCCTTCTTTCTTCTTTCAAATCAATAACGCTGCTTTGTCTGGTGCACTCTGAAAAGAAATATTTTATAATCATTTATAAATGTGTTAAAGACATCTATTAAGTATCTGAAGTAATGTAACATACTAAACAATTGCGATAAGAAGAAAAAAATATAAAAAAAGTAAAATCAGCAATAAAATTGTTGACGAATAACATTTCTTTCGTCACCTTACTTTTTTCTGTTACTATTAGATTGGCAACAGTTTAATTTAATTTACAGAAACTTCTCTTAGACTATAGAAATCACAAAACTCTCAATACACATTCTAATTACTTACCTAAAACTGTGTCTGTATTTCGAAGGTTGATACCCAAATCAGCACCATCTAAATCCTCTAAAACGTGATCGGAAACCCAGTGTTCTTGTTTCGACTCAATTATTTTTTCTCCAACGCTATATTTAAACCCCTTCATCTTTCCAGAGTGATGATCTTCATCCCATGCATCAATCGTTTTAGGGATGGCATCATTTTGATTCAATATTAAAAAATCCTCATTTTCCTCCTCCACTTTAAATCCTATCTCTGTTTGGTAGCATTTGTCTTTGTCAGAACAAACAGTTTTTGGAGCCATGTGTAACACTGTGAGTGGAATTTTATCCATTTTATCAGGTGGAAATATCTTCACAGTTCGGCCTGCTATATCGTATTCCTTTTGTTCAATGCTTAATGGGCCTTCCATTAATTTGCCCTTGTAACTGAAAGCGTTTGTGTTGTCCATTTGTAAAACCTAAAGCAAAAATTAACACAAATAAAAGAAAATTCGGTGAACATGTATAAAATTGATAAAGTCTAGTTAAATGGGATAACAATAACACTCACGTGACTGGGAATACCTATCTATATATGATGAAAATGGTATTCCTTGACCTATATTTCAGCTCGATAAAATTGAAAAACCATTACACTACCAGCCAAAATTTTACACGTATACAGTTACATTGTAGGTCAACATTTACCGTTAATAAAGAAATACTTTTAAACTCTTGTCGTGATATATAGATTTACTTAAATTAAAAATCATTCTACTTAGATTTTATGTTTAAACGACATGTTAATTGTCCCATGAACACCCTTCACAAGTTAACATTCATCAATATTTATAAACCAATCCGATCAATAACACACAGTCCGATGAAGTATATAATGGCATTTACGTTTTAACAGCTGTCGGCCATTTTGTATACTTTTTATCAAATAAAGTGAGAAAAAAAGCTTTAAATTAGTGTTAAAAAGTACACACAAATTAATCGTTAATTTAAACTTTCAGTACTTTTAAACCAAAAATTAAAGTAACAAGAGAAATATACTTTACCGGCAATATTTTATACATTTATAAAAATCACTTTTCCCTCCGTTTCTAACGTTTGTTTAAAATAAACCAGGAAGAAAAAATGTATTGGTTTATCCATATAACGTCATTGCGGTTAATGCGTAGGTTTATATATATGGTAGTTAACCAATTAGCCCGGTTTATGAAGAACTTGACCTGTTTTTTTTTAATAACTTAATTGCGTATATTTAGGCACGGGGTGGCGTGGGGTTCAGACCGAGATGATTCTAAATTTGAGGTGCCAATTGTTTACAGCTGAGTAATACAGAAAGTTACATGTTTTTTGTTGGTACTTTATGCAAAGCAGTTTGCCGATTTGTACATGAGTTAGCGGACTGGTGTAGAATAGTAAATATATGCAGAAATAGCCGCTCCTCCGTAGCGTAAAATATATACATGTACTAAGAATATTAATCAATTTCTACAATTTTAGCTTCTGCACTTTTGTTTGATTTTTTTAGAAGTGTAATTTAGATAGTTCACATCTAAACTAAAGTATTTCCCTTTCTGAACAAATGCCTAAAAATAAAAACAACACCAAATATAGTTTAAATGTGTAACAAAAGCCTAAAAACATAAAAAATCAAAATTCTTGCAAAGACCTACTTGGGGAACTATTACGAAAGATAATAAAATACTCAGAATAATAATCGATTTTTTGCGTATGCCAGCCTTAGCCCGATTTCAGTTTAAAATGTTTTAACGATTTTCATTTTTGGGTTATTTATTCACTTTGCACAATCAAAATGATTATTCTAAAAAAAACGAAGCAAGCATTTGATCTGAAATTTTGCGCACAAGTTATCGGTATAGCCCTCCCTCCATTTAATGATTAGTCTCAAAATGAAATCAGTGCCGTCATGTAAAAATGGATTCTCTTTAACATGTTTTATATGATCAGTTTGACGATGTGAGAGAGAAAATACTCGCCATTAAGAACGCTCCACGTAATTCACGTAATTATTCAATGAAACACTCAAAAAGCAGTTCTGTTGTTTATTAATATGTATATTCTTAATTATTTATGTTAGTAATTATAATGAAATAAGTTATTGTAAGTTCGATTTTTATCCTCTTTTTTTCGTGTCCTATTTTATTTTACTCCTTTTTATACTTTTTATATAATTTATTACATATAAATCGTTAACCTCGGCGGCAAAAGATTCTACTGATGCGTCCAGCGCCGGCACATCATGGTCGGCACTATTTGCTTTTCAGTATGTTTTCCCCAAAAAATGATGAATGGTTTTGTCCAAATTGAATGATGGACAAGTTCATTTAAGACATTTAGCGTGATTATGTTATTGAAGAAATAGACTAGTTATAAGTCCCCACGACAAGACCTAGTTTAATATTACCATGTCTTTATACTCGTATAATACTTTTTAAAGCATATCAATTTTCCATGAACTAAAATGATTATCAGTAAGTACGGTTGCTTTCGAAATGTTTGCCACTATATGTAGTTAGTTTTTGCTCCACTCATAGAGTCAGCTTAGCCTGCATAATTGTGCCGCTTGGCAGATTTGATACTTTTTTTTTCTTTTCTTTTCTTTTTTTATATCGATATCCCTTAAAGTTTGAATGGACTCTTCCAAAATCACGGTCCAGCAAATCTGTAACACAAATTCGTCAGACTTAGGGTTATACAGGTATTTGATGATCAGACACTTTTATCATTTTTGAAGTTAAAGTATCTAAGATTTGCGAAGAAAAAAAATATATATCGCGGCAATAGGATTTGGTATAATGATCTTGATGGATAATGACATTTGTTTTCAATGCGGTCAACCACCTTTTTCTGTATCCAGAGCGTGTTTGTTACCAAGTATACTTGACATTCACTATTAGCAGTCAATTGTTTAAATCAAAACAATTAGATTTCGCTGAAAAGGGCTCTTGATTCAACTATCTTATACTTTCGTTTCTATTGTCAAGATCCGGAACAAAAATACAACATTTTTTCCCCTTACGTGACTTAAACTGCGTAGATTGAAATCTATATATACTAAGACGATCTCATGAATCGTGACAGTGTAGTTTCAGGTTCATTGATAGGTAATTATTTAATATTATGACATGGATATTCCCGATCAATATTAAATACCTTTGCAATATCGTTTGCAAACATTAGAAAAAAACGGCAATTGATTGCTTACAATGCGATATTTTTTATAAACTTTAACACACAAAAATGTAATAGACTTTCATTGTATTAGATTCAGAAAAAGCACTATGATATTACTCTTCACTTTTTTGTAATGTTCTTTTCTCATAGGCCACTGGGAATTGTAAATGCAAGTCTATTTTGTAAAAAAAAAACCGCCATTTTTTCTTCGATTCAGCCTTTTATTTTCCGAAGTTCACCACGAAGGGGGCATCACCATGGCACCAAGAAAATTTAGTTGTAAGCACCATTGAATGTTATTTGTTTTTTGCGTCTTAAATATCGTTTCGTTGAAAAGTCAAAAATTGTATGGCAGACGAGTAACAAAGGATTATATTTAACGAATTTAACATCTCAGATTACAGTATTTTCCTCGGTATGATATATTTCCTGTTACCAACAAACCTATTTGTTATTTTTAATCTAATTTTAACAATCTTTAAATTTAAAGACCATTATAATATTAATGTTCAATCTTTGATTTTGTATATTTACAGACACTAAGTATTTTTATCTAGTACGGACAATAGGCAAAAGAATTCATACACAGTGTCATTAATTTCATTGATTCAAAAATCTTAAAATTTCTACAAATGAATATGGCGGATTTCAAGACCTATTTTAGAAAACGAAAGTTATTTAAAAATTTATAAATTTTATATAAATTATTTCTCATCAAATCAATGGTAATACAAGTTAATAAAGGCGTAACAATCTTTTCTTTCATCAACTGTTTTAAACTAAATTCAAAAGAAAACAATAAAAATAACTTACTCAAAAAGGCTGATTTCGAGTCCACAAAATGGAAATGCTGATCAAAATGGTTACCGGAAGTTGTGTGTCATTTGTTGTTAGTCACGTGTTATTTACGTAATTCAAACTCTATTTTTACTGCAGAGTTGTCATTCTCGATATCAGATGTCGGTTGTTAAATTTTTTTTTAAAGAATATAGCTTCGGCCAATATTTTTTTTCAGTTCATACTACCTAATATTCACCAGCTAAAACGTCCGTTTTTGTTATGGTATGTTGTGTTATGTATGTTTTTTAAATGTTTGTTATGTTATATATGTCATGCCAGTTAGTTAGTTATGTTATGTACCGTTTTGTTATGATTAATATGTTATGAATTTATGTTATATGATGTGCATTACGTTATGCTATTTTTGCTATGTGTTATGCTGTGATGTGTTATGTTATTTGATGTGTATTATGTTGTTATGCGTTATGTTACGTTATGTTTATGTTATGTATTGTTACGTTTGTTATGTGATGTTACATAAAGGATATTAAATGGGTGTAGTTTAATACTAAATTTATTGAACGAGTTGAATAAAATCATATTATGCGAGCCTCTGGCGAGCATAATATTGTTTTATTCAACGAGTTCAATAAATTTAGTATTGAATCTTCACGAATATAATATTCTTTTTATCACATATATAAAATAAGAACAGTAAACAGTTAAAATGAGTAATTTTTCAATGACGCGCCCATTGTGTAACGCTAACATTAGCGCGCTTTAACGCTATGTTTCTATACAGCGCAAATGACGTCACGTCAAAGTGTTATTACACTAGTGTAATATCGTTTTTATTAAATGGCTTTATCACACACCCGTGCCGATCTTGCGACTCCGTAAATATGGTATTGCACGGCCGTGCATATATTTTGACGTGACGTCATTAGCGTTATACAAACATAGTGTAAAGACGCACTAAATGTTAGCGTTATACTATAGGCGCGTCAATACAAAATGACTCTTATTTCACTTTAAACGATCTTTATTTTGGGTATGTGATAAATAGAATATTAAATTCGTGTAAGTTCATTACTGAATTTATTGCACTCGTTGAATAAAATAATATCATGCTCGCCAGAGGCTCGCATAATATAATTTTATTCAACTTGTGCAATAAATTCAGTATTGAACTTACACTCATTCAATATCCTCTATTTATTACACTCCTGTGCCGCGGTTTATGTGATAAATTATGTTATGTTATGTAATGTAAAGTGTACGGAGTATAAGGTTGTGTGTTGTGTGTTTTGATATGTTATGTTATGTTATGCATGTTATGTTAGGTTGTTTTGGAGTTTTACTGCTCTTTAATCTTGAATATATATTTAGTTTATATTTGATTAAAATATGATGTAATCTAATTATTTAGAACAGAGAATATTAGATTTTAGAAGTTGAATAACTAATTATATTTTCTATTGATGTATTTCTGGCCATTTTAGTAAGATATGAATCTCACATTGTTTTTATTATATACATATATGTAGCAATTTATTTAAAAAAATAACAGAACATTACACATACATCAAACTCATTTGATTATTATTTTACAAAGAACACATGGTCTATCTCATTGAATAATATGCACATTTTAGATTTTAGACAGTTTAGGCAACACTAGAGAGATTGAAAAATATCATTCAATCCTCCTGACCAATGTTACAAAATCCTTTATATACAAACCAGAAAAGTAGAACGTATCAGATTTTAGATACGTAACAATACAAGCTACATTACATATCAAACATTCGAAAGTTGTTCTCACTTCGGAAACGGTTTAGAACAATAATGGCAGGTTTTGCATACTTTTTCTCTTAGTTCTATATGCTTGTTTCGAAAGTGCTCTTTTATTTCGTTTCGAGATCCAAAATCACTATCTTTATTACAAATCAAACATTCGAAAGTTGTCCTTCCGTGAAGTGTATGTTTTTTATAACACTTTTTATTTTTCTTAAAATCTTCCTTTTTAAGTCTTCCTATTGACTTACTATGTTTTGTAATGTTTATATCCTGAGCATTTGTGTTATCATCACAATCGCTGTCATCGCTGTACAAACTATCTTCATGTAAAGCAATGTCTGTTGTGTTCCGTATTTCTTCATCAACAGGTTTGCCTCGATCATTCATTTCAATTTCAATATCCGTGACAACATTACTAGTACATTGGTCCGTCACTCGAGATAAATGTGATTTTATCTTCTCATTTTCTACACCATTTGTAACTCTTACAGCATCATAAAGATGAGCTTCCACGTGGACTTTCAGGTGTTCTAAATTACCTGTAGTAAACATACACTTGGAACACGCAAATGGTCTCATTATGAATTCGTAGTCGCTTTCGTGCTCTAGATCGGTCAAACTGATATCCGATTTTCCAATAGCATCCGTTGTCTTCACTGATTTCTCTGAAGTAGAATACTTGATATGGTTAGTCTCATTATCACAGTCATTGCATTCCTCCTTTTCATGTTCACCTTCACTGTCATCCCTTTCATCGGGGAAAGAGTCAGCATTACTTGTTGATTCATTGCTTGTTTCTGACTTTGACCTTATCAGAAACATGTTGCTGTCATTATCGATAAACACGTTTGCATTGGATAAATCATTACTGTCTAAGGAATCGCTCGTGTCATCAACAGAAACACTCTCATCATTATCACACTTTGGTGACTGAACGTTAGAATCTATTCCGCTGGCGTAACCTTCCGAAGAGTCCACGTTACAATTTGTTTCAACACCGTTGTGTTCGGGTGGAACCATTTCAGAATCTGATAGACAAGATATAGATTCAACACTGAAATTTAAACAAACGATTTCCTTGTCAGAGACATTTTCGCTATCAGAATGATCAGTAACATCCATGTCATAATCATGTTCATCTAAATGCTCTCGTAATTCCTTTAATGATTCAGCATAAAATTCACAAAACGCGCAACTCAGTAATTTGAATTTTTGAGCATTTGAACCACTGACAAACCTTAATTCTCTATTAGTTTTAGTTTTTTTCTTTGTTTGAAGAAGTTCACCATCGACATTTTTATGAAGAATACCTTTGGCACATACAATTTCTTTTTCAATGTATGACTTGTCAGTATGTGTTCTTTCATCTTTTTCATTTCTTTTCCGGCAGGATATTGTTTTGTCTTTTACATATTGTCGGTTACACTCAAAAACTTTGTTTTTATTCATACTTGCAATGCTACTGTAAGCTTCTCTAGAGTATGGTAGATTATCTTTTTCAACATTAGTATTCAAATCAACTTCACTGTTCTTTCTTCGTCTCTCGATTTGTTCCTTTAATTTGTCAATTGTTTTAGTTGTATCTTTACCATCTTGCGGATTATTTTGTGTTAGAGTAACGTCCTCACTTCCTTTATGTGTGACTTTACCATATGGCTTATCTCTCTTGCTGCATTTTGAATCTTCTTTTATTTGTTTTATTTGTTTGTGGTCACGTCTAATATGCCTTTTCATATTCTCAATATTAAAAAAGGGTCTGTTACAATATTTACAACTGTCCGGGGCGTTTTCATGTCTTTTCATGTGGCGAGAATGATCAGAACAATGCTTGGTTTCATAATCACATTTCTTGCACTTATATATCCGAGGCACATATGCACGTGCAATTCCATGCACCGTCTCTTTGTGACCATTTAGGTGACCACGTGCAAAGAAGGGCATATCGCAGATATCGCACGGATAAAGTGCTTCTTTATGCCTCTTTAAATGCCGTGATAGATCCCTATTAATTGTTGAATATGGGCATTTGTCACATTGTCTCATTTCTGTAATTTTGCCAGTACATTTCCTCATTTATTCAAAACATTTATTCTTCTTAATAACGCGTCCTTTGGTAATTTATAATTTTGCTGTTCTAATATGAAGCTTTTGCGTTAATGTTTATGACTTGTTACTTTTTGCACACTTTTATCCTGAAATAGAGACAAAAAAAATTTTATGATACGAAGGCTAATACTTGAGCTGTTCTTAGATATTTCAGAGAAACGATACCCTGTCCCTTATTACTAGGAATTGAATAACAGTCGGCATGTCCAATATTTTGTTATAATATACCTAGACATTTTCCCGTATAGTATTATTATTATTGTATAATATAATATCATATCATGCTCGCCAGAGACTTGCATAATATGATTTTATTGAATTAAATACATGTATTGAACTTAAACTTATTCAGTATTCTCTAATTATTAAACGAATGCATGGATTTATTAATGAAGCTACGCATCTTTACGCTTTGTTTGTAAAACGCAAATTACGTCACGCCATAATATATGAACGTCAAAGATACGTCAATGACATTAATATAGTTTTGACGTATCCTTCTGACACCGAAACAGCTAAAATCCCTATAGCAAACATTAAAATGTAATTAAGTATCAGAAAATACGTAAATTATAGAATATATAACCATATACTAATAAACGTTTGAAATATTTATCTTATTTTTTTCAAAATTAACGCACATAATATAAAAACATTTTTACATACAATAGAGACACTTGATTACAAGTCAATCGTACTGTATAAATGAAGATCAACGTCAAAGTATAATCATTTGTGGCATGAATTTATCACATACATCAACTGGTGTTCTGTAATCTAAACACGAGTTTTATACTGATGTAACAGTAAGACTGTCAACATCAATTACTATTTTAATATACATAACGTTTGTATTCCTTGGAAAGATATAATGCTGACAACTTTTTAAATGCATACTACTCTTCAGTTATTCATTTGTTCTTTATATAATTTAGTATATAAATTATCGTTTTATATAACACAATTTTGTGTCCTCACATTATAATAATAATCAATTTGGGCGTTTCTCGTCACTCGTTTATAAAATTTCCCCTCACCTTAATTTACAAAGATGTGCCTCTACATGTATTTTCAAATAATCTAAATTACTTGTTGCAAAGGAACATTTAGAACATGCAAATGGCTGCATTGGAAACGTGTCTTTTGCTCGAAATTCGAGTTTGGCAATAAATCCATTCCAAAGAGCAACTGCGTCTTTAAATTCTTCTGCATTTATGCATACACTTTCCGCCTCTGAGGCTTCATCACTTTCCGCGTCTTCCAATTCCAAATATTCCAGGTCATTGTTATTTTTCATATCTGATGCATCAAGATATTCATTCTCTGCATTTATCTTATCATTCGACGAAACAGCTTGCTCAACAATATCTGCAAAACATTCTTCCCCACCCGCAGATGAATCTGAATCTGTGTCGCTAAGTTCTAGATCATTTGCGATGTCTGGAATGTCTTTCCCACGAGGAAATTCAATGCTTTCTGAAATATTACTATTTTCTGTTTCATACACCATCGTCGTTCTATCTATATTACCAAAGATGGTCTCAGATAGTAAACTACTTTCCGTTGATTCGCTCTCTGAATGAACAGAATCATCGACATCACTTTCATTGTCTGCATACTCAATATCTTTGTCGCCAGTATCAGACAGTTCGTCAATATCATGATCGTCCAAATGTTCTTGTAGGTCTTTATAAGATATTGCTCTATATCTGCAGAATGCGCAATAAATATGTTTTCTATGGGTTTCATGTATATCACCCTGATGGACTCTGTTGGACAAAATTTTATTATGTTGAATTGCATTGCCGCCTATTTTTGAACGTGTTTCTGCATTGTTTCCGTCTTTGCCATCGTATGATACTTCCTTGATTTTTTTAGAATTTAGTTTACGTTGTTTTGCTTCTGATCTTTTTCGTCTTAGATCAATCACGTCTTGATTTAATTTTTTTATTTGATCCGATAATAGAGTGTCAGTTTCGGCACGGGAATTTAAACATTCTTCGTTTATATTGCTTTTCCTAAGAGCGCAGTTGATAATGTTGTTGCATTCTTGAGTGTTTATCGTTCTCTTTGGCGTTTTCACATTATCAGCCCCATCTACATTTGCTTGCGGATCATCGGCATTTCTATGAACACGTTTCAAATGCCGATCTAACATATTTGAAAAAAAGAATGGTCTGTTACAAATGTTACAACTAATCGGTGCGGATTTGTGTCTTTTCCTATGTCTATGAATGTCGGAAGAATGTCTTGTCGTATAGTCACACAAACTGCACTTCCAAGTCTTATCTCCTGGTAAAAGTCCAATCTGATGCACAGCTCGTTTGTGACCGTTCAAATGACCCAATGTCATGAAAGGCATGTTGCATTCCGAACATGACAAGCAAGACTTTGCATGCCTCCTCATGTGCCGTTGGAAATCGCCTGTGTGAGATGTAGTATAAGGACACTTGTTGCACTTGCGAACCTTGCTTTGTGAAACTTTTGATTTTGTTTTACATAATTTGGCTGCTTGGCGTGCTTTCTTTGGGTTAGGAACAACGCCATATAACTCTTCAAGGCTTGAATTCAGATAAGGTAGGAATAGGTCATCGTTTTCTGTTGCCATTGATGATGATGCATATGAAGGGTCTGGTGTGGCAACAGGATTCATACTAGCTGTAATGCAGAATTAATTACAAATTGATGGTCATGACGATTATTTGATAAAATTATATAATGACGACGAAGACAACGATAATAAGATGACGGAGGTGATGATGATGATCATGAAAATGATGATAACGACGACGATATCGATGATGATGATGACGACGACGATGATGATGACGACGATGATGATGATAACACCGATGACCGATGACTACGAGTCGATGACATAATGATGATGAGGAGAAGGAGAAGTATTATGACAACGCTGACGATGATGATGATGACGACGACGACGATGACGACGACGATGATGATGATGATGATGATGATGATGATGAAAACATACTGTTGTTGATGATGATGATGATGATGATGACGACGTCACGACGATGACAAAGGAAACAAAATTATGATGATCATCATGATCATGATGATAAGGAGGAGGAGGAGGAGGAATATGATGATTACAGTAATGATGTGATGATTAGGACTATATACTTCAAGTCTATAGAAAACGTATACTATAAATGTATTTTTAATGTCTAGTAACTTGTGTGAACGTGTACATTTCAAAAAGAGAATACAATTTTTATACGATCTCAATTGTTTATTAAAGGAAATTTAATTACATTAAGTAACAATATCATAAAATGATAAAATCTATTTGCTTCATTTATAAATCCATATTAATCATAAACAAGTAAGTGCATGCGGAAGAAATTGTCATTTTTATATTTTTGTGCGGAAAATTAAGTTAAATCTAGCATTCGTTTTCTTTTGCTCGATGTTAGGTGCTACTAATGAAAGGTAGTGACTATTTTAATAATGGCGGTATTTTCCAGCAATAAAGTGTCAAGACAGCGTGTACAATCCTTTTTTTTACTCAATTGGTGGAAAGAATTACCTGATAGGTAGCTTATTGGTCCAAATAGCAGACGATGGGTAGTAAATAGGTGCTCAATCAATCCCCTACGCAGTGATCTCCCCTTATCAGTACAGAGATCTCTGCCACCGCACACATTTTAACATTATTTTGTTATTTTTTATCTTTTGAATTTATTTTTCATTAGTTTGTATACTTTTGATATTTTCATAAACTATAACGAACGAATGTACGAAAAAGAGAAAAATGACGTTAGATTTTCTATGTAACGGTCGATATTTACGTTACGTCATGTGACTTTCATCATCATGTGACGCCTGTGAAGGCAGTGATTACAATCTGCCAAGGGAGGTAATCACTGTGAGGAGTTTGGTGCCCAATGGGTGATATCAGTGTCGCGTCCAAACTTCTTATCATTCAACGATCACTATATTTAAATGGGGTATTGGCGGTGAGCTATGTAACACCGCACTTTGGTGTCAAACGCACTTTGGTGTCCGACCCCAAAGTGCGTTGCGTACTTTGGGGTTCAACCCCAAAGTGGTGTCAAATTTTGACCCCAAAGTGCGGTACACAGGTACATGTGCATTTTTTGACATCAGACAAGCGACCGCACTTTGGGGTCATAAAAAATCAATTAATAAGAACAACTTTAGTGATTTTTGAAATAATATCTTTTGGTTGATTTAGTTAATTATAAACCGAACTAGGCGAAATATTAAGTTGGCTTACAATAGCAGACAATTGATTATATTAATTTGTCATATCTTATGGTTTCAATTTATTATAATTATGTTTTGTATTCAATTATTTGTGTCATGGGGTATTGGTCTTAAAGTAATAAGATGTATTGATATGTATGATGTGTATTGTGTGTAATAATACATTCAATAACTTATCCATTAACCATCGTTGTGTGCCGATAATTGTAGAGATTGCATGTCACGCATATTTCCGTCTAATTAAAATCCAGTTCTTTATACGATATGATCTGTTCAGAACCCATTAAAAATTCTGGATTTATCCTAGTTCTATTTATATTAAACGGATGTAATCTTTCTGAATTAATTAATTATATTTTTTCTATGTTGAATGTTGTAGAAAAGCCTTGTATTGAAAGGAATTGAAGCTGTGTCAATCTGTCACTACTGGAAAAATGAAACATTTAAGATTGCTTCCAAGATGGATGCAATGTTATAAGAATTCACCATGCGTAGCAGGATCATTAGTGTATAATTATTTAAATGAAATGTTGGTCGCATTTACCCTCATTGGATCCAGAAACATTTAAGCTTATAGCATCCATCATAATTGAATTAAATAAATCAATAATTAGTGTGTTGTTAAATACGTTTTAGATATTTTTAATGAACTTTCACGTTGTCGCCGTCGTCATGATCATTATCACCACCACCATCATCATCATTATTACCACCATCATCACCATTATCATCATTTTATCATCATCATCATCGCCATCATTATCATTATCATCATCACCACCATCATCATCATCATCATCACCACCATCACCATCATTATAATTATCATCATTATCATCATCACTACCACCATCATAATTACTGACATTTATTGTACTTTCTTTTTTGTTTGTATTTATAACTCTGTTTGCTCATATGTGAGGAACATCTTTGACACCGAAATATCTCAAACAACAAATAAATCGCTCCAAACAACTGCACATAACATGTAAAATATTGCTTGGAGCTTGAATGTTTTTAGCTTTCCTAAATTGTTTGTGCATTTTTCTCCATATTGATTATCTTAAAATATTTTGGCTCATCTGGAGGCGTGCATCTTTAAGGTACAAATTATAGCTTATGGTTAAACCAAAGTTATTTTTAGAATTATTTTAGATCGTAGGCAGAAACACTTCTTGTTGGTATATATGTTTAGGTATAAAATGAAAGAAAATCTTAACCATGAACTATCTTCTCACTTCCCCTCGGAGCGTGCACGTCGCTGAGAAGGTACAGGGCATCGGCAGAAGATTTACAACTTGGCTGGTAGACAACTTTAATTTTGCCTTCAACCGTGGGCGGTAACTACGGAACTACTACTTCGTCACTTCTGCGGACCAGCTGCCGATGTCCTGACTAATGCCGAGGGGAGTGGCCCTACAAAGTAGGCTGAGACGACGAGGATGGTGTACTAGGGTGCGTGAGCCCCTAGTACAGATAGACGGCTTGTAAGGCAGGCCTATAGCTGGCACCAACAGCCCTTTTCAGGGCTAAACACCTTTCCTATTGCCACAGGTTACTGTACATTTAGGTTCTCATTGACCGCCGTACAGTGACCTACTTTTCGGCTCAAAATTCATATCTTTGGATAATACTCCGTGGAAATTGCATGGAGGTAAATTATCACCATTTTGTGCTTCATGACTGGTGACATGTCCAGGGTCCGTACTCGACAGCGCAAGCTGCATTTTGTGCCCTCACGGGCGGATGGACCCTCATTAAATTTAAATAGAAGAAGAAGAAGAAGAACCATGAACTATACTTAATTAAGTGTTAGTCTTTCTTCCCGGATAAAAATGACCTGCAAAAAAATGAATCCAAGAAATCGAGCAATTATTACTTTTTATTATCAAATTTATTTAACAAGAACAAAAATGTAAGAGAAATCATTTTATTTTGAAAAATTTCAAAATTTCTTTTCCCTATTGTATTTTTCAAATTTGTTGCGGATTTATACATTTATCATTCATTTTTCACACTGCGTTACAAAAAAGCACGCGGTGTTAACGAAACGCTTGAAATTATACTATTATTTCGTGTAATCGTGAAGCAATTAGTGAGTTTCTACGAAATGTAATGATATATTCTGAAACTAATTGTAATGTCAGGGCGAACAATTTTTAAGCATAAACGGATACAAAATTTCCTGTTTATTTATGATATCTAAATGGTGTGTACTTTATAGTATGTAGTTCATAAGAAGAAATACTTTCAAATTTCTCAAGTAAAGCGTTTACTAAGAAGTTTTTTGTTTTTGTTGTTTTTGTTTTTTTGTTGTTGTTTTTTTTTTTTTTTTTTTTTTTTTGGGGGGGGTGAAGTTTTTATGGAAGTTTTTTATGTCAAGATCGATTTCTGTAATACACATTCAATGAAGTTCTAGATTTATACAAAGTATACACGCAGTCATCATGCAACAATAATAACACGTGGTATTGCATCGTGCAAGAAAGCCGTTTTTCACGTGTAAATAAAAATGCAACCATACAGTATTGTTTGATTTTATTAACCTGTCAATTCCATACTGATTATACGGTCAATGCACAGAATATATTAATATTCGATAACTGTTCGGTAAATTCCGTGAGATTTACGCAGTAAGATATGATTACATTCATCTGGTTTCTGGATTATTTATACTGACCGTTATAGCGCAATAGGGTAAACTACGGGTATATAATTTCTAAATGTCCTACGTGTTGTAATATCGAGACAGCGTATATCCAGGTATTTTTCGTATTCATAATTAAGTTATTATCTTAACATCTTTGAAGTTATAGTTCTTTCTATTAATAGGTTTTGCCCTTTTTGTAAATACTATACTTTTTTATATAACATTGTTCAAGAATTAATATTAAAAATTCATTCGGATTAAGATCAATAGATGTCATTTCAGTGCCGTAAAATACAAAACAAAACGTGACAATTCAGTGTTTCTTAGTTGTTTCATATCTGTGTAGAAAATTCTGAAAGTGCTTGACCATTTTCATTATAATACTCTACTTAAAAATAAAGAAAACAAGGTCTAAAAATAAGTGACGTCTAAAAAGAATGTCAAAAGAATGGATCGAACCTCGGACCTCTCATATATTAGGTAATCACTTAACCGACTGTGCTATTGCGGATGTTATGAGAACCTACATTAAGCTAGTGGGAGTTTTCCAAACGTTAGTTACATATGCTCCATATCAATTCACGTAAAATAAACGAACAAAACCGAAGTGGGATCGAATATTTAAATGAGTGCTATAATGTATTCATAATTGACAGGTCAATAAAATCAGACTATACTTCAGTATAGAAAATAATGATTTGAATTTATGTAAAAAAAACAAAATGTATTTTTTTAGTTTCATTTCAAAAGCTAAGACCTTTACATATTCAATTTAGAAGTACTTAATTCAACATTTATTGATTCCAATAAGGTAAGTTTATAAAATAAATGCGACCATACTAATATCTTATTCAATATTTGCTGTTTTATTTTTGGCGGGTTAAGAATCTAAATTTTAATTTGATCATCACGTGTGTTGTTGAATATATATCTACTGTAGGCTTCCCTGGAATATCTACTGTGTACAGACGCAAAATTTCTGTGAGGCAAATAATATTTATCAAACTCTCGATGACAAAAAGTTAACTTAGTGTCTGAATTATGTTATACAGTATTGTTACAATTCGCAACATTGCTTACAAAAAGTAACAAGCTTTAAAAAAATCATCATTTCATCATTCTCAACTTAAATCAAACAAGACTAGAACCGAAATACTAAAATTGATTACTTGCCTTATAAGACCTGGCACGTTTGTTGGAGAAATTCATTTAGCATATGTCACGTTCGTTTTTTTTAGGGAATATGGCGTCGTTTACGGAAGTGACGTTTGATGACGTCATTTACGTAGAAAACGGCGCCAATTTGCATTACTGCGCATTTTCATACAAAATAATTTTAAAGACGTTTGACAAAACCATTTTATGAATATAAAAAAGTTATAGTGGTTTAAGATATTGAAATTTTCTTTTATGTACATTGGAATATTTTATTTTGTTTCAAAGTTATTATGACAATTGTGAAAAATAAGACAAATAAATAAATTTTCGAAAATTAATTTTCTAAATTAATGTCCACCACGGCATAAAATATTTATAACTAATAAAGAAGACTAGATTAATTTACTAGTTTAGTAAAATGTATGTTGATATATTAATTAAAGTCAATGAAAGATAACGTTTAATTGGCTACTCCTTCAGATTATTTAATTATTTTATGATTGATTGTGCAATACTCGTAATTTGGGTTTCAGCGCAAAATATATGATAAACAAGATCAACAAGGAAAGCCGAGAAGTTTGGGTCACTCAAGGTAAAAAAGGAGTGAACACTCAAAATTGTGTTTTCAAACTCCTCGCAGCGGTTACTTCCCTTGATCAGTACGAAGTGGATGTCACTGCGTGACGGTGTTTAACAATCTCCACGCAGTGATCTCCCCTTAATTCTTCGGCATAGATACAACAATCGCAACTACTCAGCCCTTTCCGTCAGTCTTCGGATAAGTTATTATAGATAATAGCCGAGGCAGTTCCGAATGATAGATTACAATTCTGTAGACTGGTCCCCTGCGAACTTCTAAAAAGTACCTTATTCATGTAAAAATAAAATCACCTTTTTTACCATTAATATTACATGAAAATCATAATTGCAACCTTATAGTCATCGTCACTTTTATACTTGACATAATCAGAGATTTACTTTACCAAGATATTTATTCGTTCACGATTCAAAATATTAATGTTTATAATCGTTTCAAAATTCTTTATACGTAGAAAAAAAGATAATCGCTTTTTTACTTGGCATATCGTATGAATATTGTTTAACCATAATTCAGTGTTTGACATTGAAAATGAAATAAAATAGCTTCCACGGCAAACAATGTTTTTAACTGAAAATATAGTGGCAGAACGGCCGAGTGGTTAACGCGTCGACCTAGTAATCTAATGATCACTAGACGCATGGGTTCAAATCATGTCAGAGGTTAGGCCTAAGCAAGAAACTTTACACTCTTTGCTTAGTACTGGTTGGTTCCAGAAACGGATCATAAACTTATAGCTTCCTACACAATCAAACAAAAATGAAGTGTGTAAACCAAATGTCACGACCAACTTGCCAGCTATTATATAGCCTGTGGTCAGTTTAATTGCTGCACGTAATTCTAAAAGTATGCATTATTTATGTACGGTACATTACGGTCATTCGGTTCGTACAGTGGATAAAGAAAATCGATTTAATCCGTCAGATTCTACTTTATTTACTGTGTTATTTGAAGTACTGACCAAACATTTTATTTCCAATATAGTTATATTTACATTTACCCGTGATCTATTTGAAAGTCGTGCGCCAGTGAAGCGTGAAACGTACAATGATTTCAACTGTATGACAAAATTATACACTCCCGATTAATTCGGAATTTTTCAAGGCTTTGGCCTGTCGCGTCGAGTCCAATTTGATTTTTATCTAATATATGATACAAAAAAATCTTATAAGTAAAAAAAGGATTGAGCCTACAAGGGTAAGATTTTTTCCATATTTCAAAATGTTTTAATTTTGATTTTTGATTTTTTTTTATAGTAAAAGGAATAAAATTGAAATTTTGATGCTCAGACTAAATGATAAACATGTATATGTTTATGACGGTCCGTCGGTCACATTGACCGTTGGATAAGTCATTATGTACTACACAAGGGAATCGATTATGTAATGATAATAACAATAGAAAGCGTAAATACTAAACAGCAAAATATCGGACGTTGGCGGGTCAAATGAGATCGATACTGTATTTTTTGATTGATACTTCAGTCATCACTGGTCAAGTAGCCAGTTCCGGTACAGGACCAGTTCCGGTGTCTTCAATGCCGTTTTCATTTAAATATTTCTAATATTTGATTTTTTTGTTGTTGATGATACTATGTTATGTGTGTATAACCATCTGTTAGCATATCATTTTCTTATGAAGTGCCTATTTTCTAGAAAAACGACATGTAATGAGTCGGAACAGGTCCTGTGCCGAAACTGGACCACTGGGCCACTGAAAGTATTATTGACGATTTGTGTAATAAAAACAAGCCCATTTATTAATGGTTGAGAGCCGTCCAGTTAGCTCAATATGTAGATCATTGGACTGTGAATTGGGAGACCCGGGTTCGATTCCTGGACGGTGAAGGTGACTTTCGTTTTGTGATTAATCATGAAAATTCTTTCAAATCAAATCATATCAAAATTTATTTATTGTCGGTATATATAATTATATAACATTTCACAAAACATAAGCTATGTATGGCTTTTGACCGACATAATTCTACGGTCTACGCTCTGCGCCTCTGCTCTGGTATGTACATAAGTTATCAGTTCCTTCTGAAAGAAAAGGCAACTGCTTGACAAAATGCCCAGGAACGATGCGGTGGCTGAACTGTATAAATTCAATGTGGCTTACTGCCATGATTTTATGTGATAACTACCAACACCACCACCTATTAGTTGAAGTTATTATCATTATCATTATCATTATTATTATCAATATCATCATCATCATCATCATCATCATCATTATTATCATCATTATAATAATCATCATCATCATTATTATTGAGACTATGAAAAATATAGATATAATCGGAATTTTCAGGAATTATGAATTTAAAACATTAAAATACAAGCTTATTCTTGTCGGTAATTTACTACTTCTTAGAAAATCTTTTTTATTATGGATTGGCGTAGGATTTTCCTTTAGTGTCGGTGACGTCCTTTGTATTTACCTGGATTAACTGTTTTGGTTCATTGAATTTTTGTAGTATTTGTTTTGCAAAATAACACATGAAAACGACAAATGGTCAAGACAACAAAAAGCAATGCCCGCGGAAATTTTGCAACACCTTTAATAAGGTGCCAAGTTTTATTCAACAACGTCTATTGTATTGACTGTATTCTCACAAATAATTAAGTCGGAGAATTATCTAAGTTAATGTTTAAGGGCATTTTATAAAAAAATCTCATTTTGCTTTTAGTTTAGTTTAGCTTAGTTTGGGTTGGTTGGTTGGCTGGCTGGCTGGCTGGCTGGCATGTTGGCTGGTGTGTTGGTGGGTTGGTTGGTTGGTTGGTTGGTTGGTTAGCTACCGGTTGCATCTCACTGCTGGGGATTTTTGGAAGCCTGCCAGAAGGACTTAGGATTCTGATATCCAGAACGCTTGCGGAGTGCTGGTGAGGTTTTCTCTCACGTGCCTGCTCGTGCTTTAAGAATTACACGTAACCGTAACCGATCGGATTTGTCCAACCATCAGTAAAACTAAACAGTCGTCGTGTGCTCTTAACCGTGTCGTGAAGGGGCGTCCGTGACAGAGTGATTAAAGTTGTTGGCTCAGAACAAGTTGCAGCTCATCGCTGTAGGTTCGAATCCCGCCAAGGACTTCGGATTATTTCTTTTGAGGGAGCTAACCAGCTAGCTTACGGAACATCGGTGGTTCTGCTCAGGCGCCCACTCGTGTCTGAAAATACATAGATACTGGATTTATTTAGCTGACTGAAAACTTCAACCATGCAATAGTTTTTACACCTTTGAGTTTTACAAAATTTAAACATTGTTGTGTTGTGCATCTTTGAATATAAAACTTTTTTTTATCATAATCATATTTTGACAACATATCGTCCGTGACAATACTGTACGTATTTTATCAAAGAAAATATCATATTTACGATAGATACTTAAATTTCACAGTTTCTATAACTATATTGTTAGGTTATCTTTACATTTCATGCTGACGAATTTTTCTCTATTTATTCAAAGTTTTAAAGTGAGAATTTTACCTGGATTAATTTACAAAACCTTGATGAGACTTCTTTACGGTGTTTTGCTGCGCGTTTCAGTAATCAAAATATCATTGTAAAGAATTGCATGTGGCGTTTAAAATTGCTGTTATAACTTATTATTTAAAATTATCTTCGCCCACACAAAGAAATATATCATAGAATGCTTGAGTAAACTAAAAATAATTGCACATAAAGCTCTTTTACGAAAAAAGAAATGTGCATTTTAGCGTATACGGTTTCACGTGATTGCTCTTATATACCCAGTATATTGTGAATTATTGATGCATGATAATTTGCATAATAAATCATATGGTTATCCATGAATGAAAGGTTAAATGTCGTTTTTAACAAAAAGAAATCATTTTGATTTAAGTATCCGTGCCATTTACGTTGTATATAATAACGTTTAAATATTTCAATCGGTAGAGCTTACATCTCAATTTAATCAAAAGTGATCAAACTTTTAAGTAAAAATTTATACAACTTTAAAAATCTCTCGCCATTTTCCTGTATATATAATTCTACTGCCCGTCTGTCTGTCTGTCTGTCTGTCTGTCTGTCTGTCTGTCTGTCTGTCTGTCTGTCTGTCTGTCTGTCTGTCTGTCTGTCTGTCTGTCTGTCTGTCTGTCTGTCTGTCTGTCTGTCTGTCTGTCTGTCTGTCTGTCTGTCTGTCTGTCTGTCTGTCTGTCTGTCTGTCTGTCTGTCTGTCTGTCTGTCTGTCTGTCTGTCTGTCTGTCTGTCTGTCTGTCTGTCTGTCTGTCTGTCTGTCTGTCTGTCTGTCTGTCTGTCTTGTCTGTCTGTCTGTCTGTCTGTCTGTCTGTCTGTCTGTCTGTCTGTCTGTCTGTCTGTCTGTCTGTCTGTCTGTCTGTCTGTCTGTCTGTCTGTCTGTCTGTCTGTCTGTCTGTCTGTCTGTCTGTCTGTCTGTCTGTCTGTCTGTCTGTCTGTCTGTCTGTCTGTCTGTCTGTCTGTCTGTCTGTCTGTCTGTCTGTCTGTCTGTCTGTCTGTCTGTCTGTCTGTCTGTCTGTCTGTCTGTCTGTCTGTCTGTCTGTCTGTCTGTCTGTCTGTCTGTCTGTCTGTCTGTCTGTCTGTCTGTCTGTCTGTCTGTCTGTCTGTCTGTCTGTCTGTCTGTCTGTCTGTCTGTCTGTCTGTCTGTCTGTCTGTCTGTCTGTCTGTCTGTCTGTCTGTCTGTCTGTCTGTCTGTCTGTCTGTCTGTCTGTCTGTCTGTCTGTCTGTCTGTCTGTCTGTCTGCTCTGTCTGTCTGTCTGTCTGTCTGTCTGTCTGTCTGTCTGTCTGTCTGTCTGTCTGTCTGTCTGTCTGTCTGTCTGTCTGTCTGTCTGTCTGTCTGTCTGAATGTTTAAGTTTTTTTCTTAATTTATAAATTTGTTTGATTAGTCAACGGTGTCTGAAGATAACATCTCTCAGATCCGTTCATATGATAAATAACAAAATAAAACCATTTACGTCACATTATCCCCCCGTTACGTCAATTACGTCAAGCTTCCTTAAAACGTCAGTTAAGGTGTCGTGAGTGGTTAATGCTTCATCGCAGAATCGCAGACGGCATTGGTTCAAATCCCGTCAGGGGGAAGATGTTGGATTTCCTCGGACAAGAAACTTTGTAGTCATTTTCTAGTACTGTTGTCCGAGGAAGGGATTCTAGAATGGGTCTTTGAACTTATAGCTTTTTAAACATTCAAACTACATCGGTTATCAACTTACGTACTAAATGGAAAATATTCTAAAAAAAACAAATGCATTAATAGAAAGACCTTAAAGGCACGTTAGGCCCCAGAAACGAATACAGTTTCACTTCTTCAGAAAAGGCAAGCATAAGTATTATAACATTTAAACAATGGTTTTAAAGAATGTTAGATGCTTGTAACCAGGTGAAAGAAACGTTAAATGTAAGACTATTTGTCGTAAAAGTAGCAAAATACAGCAGTATTTTGACTTCCATAAAAAATACTAAATTTTTAAATCACTATAGCTGTATTAATTGCCAGAAAGCAACAGAATTAAAAGATGATTCGGGTAATTGGGCAATCAGTAACTTCTTAGAAAATACAAAAGTATACAAAAAAAATAAATAGCAATCAAAGCCTTTCTCGGACATAATGGGCCTTTAATTACTTATTATTTCCTTCTAATTTTAGATAACAAAGGCAGCATGAGAACCTTGCGAGTAGTCTTACCTTTCTTGCTGGTGCACGCGCTTGCTGCAGACGACATCTCCAACATATACAATGACGAGTCGTTTGAGCACAACCAATATGCACGTGCTGTAAATGACATTGACCTAGACACAGATATTGGCATACACGAGCGAAGCAGACGTCAAACACAGCCGTCTGCTGATAAAGAGTATTATGTGACGCAATGTGGCTATGATAATCAGGAGCAACCAGACGGACCGAGCGTTCAAGTTCTTGGAAAATCATTAGAGATAAACGGTGCAGCCCTGGCAGTATGTACATCTATTTCACTATATGCTTTATCAATTCATCAATATTATTTTGAATGTGTAATAAAAAAATATTTTCCGTGAAAACGTCGGTACTAACATTACATCAAAATGTCACACTTTCGATAATGTTGTTTAAACTAATGTGACAATTAAAATTGGTATCACCGCAAATCAATTTTCTGTTTCTTTTCTGTAAATCACGTTGTTCCATTTGCTTCATGTAAATGACATGTTCTTCTCTTAGACATGAAGAGGTAGGACAGTCACGCATTTTCTTTGATGTAACTCTAACACGGTGCATATCCATATCGGTACCCTCTTTGCGAAATCTGCTGAAACGGTACTCTCTCTGAACATGCACAGGTCATTCTCTGCTAAAAACAAACCAGCGATGGATACCAATCCAGTAAAATTTCATTGTAATAAGGAAAGGAGGTATGTCACGTAGAAAAGATGTATACCACGGAACACTAGGATGTTTTATTTATGTACTGATTTGTCATGTGCCCGATTTGCATGTACTGAAACTTCACAATAAGCTACAAAAAAATCGACATGTCTTGCTTCGCCCATCACATCGACATATTTTTCGGGCTGAAATGAACCTGTGACTTGATTATATATGCATCATACATATTTAATATGTTCATATACATATCATCTTCGGACAAATGGCAGTATATTGTCAAAAATAAATGTAAAATTCATAAAAACACCCTACTTTCGGTTTTGCAGCGGCACGGGCTACCTCTCTTCATTTGAATTTTTATACCACAGGTACCCTCTCATTTTTAACACATAGGTACCCTCAAAGCACGACATATGCTTTTATTTGCGTTAATCGTTAAGTGTGTATGTAATACTTTTTAATTTTATGTAAATATTACATACTTAACGATTAACGCAAATAAAAGCATATGTCGTGCTTTGAGGGTACCTATGTATTAAAAAATGAGCGTGTACCTGTGATATAAAAATTCAAATGAAGAGAGGTAGCCCGTGCCGCTGCAAAACCGAAAGTAGGATGTTTTTATGAATTTTACATTTATTTTTGACAATATACTGCCATTTGTCCGATGATGATATGTATATGAACATATTAAATATGTATGATGCATATATAATCAAGCCACAGGTTCATTTCAGCCCGAAAAATATATCGAGGTGATGGGCGAAGCAAGACATGTCGATTTTTTGTAGCTTATTGTGAAGTTGCAGTAAATGAAAATCGGGCACATGACAAATCAGTACATAAATAAAACATCCTAGTGTTCCGTAGTATACATCTTTTCTACGTGACATACCTCCTTTCCTTATTACAATGAAATTTTACTGGATTTGTATCCATCGCTGGTTTGTTTTTAGCAGAGAATGACCTGTGCATGTTCAGAGATGGTACCGTTTCAGCAGATTTCGCAAAGAGGGTACCGATATGGATATGCACCGTGTCTAATGTAATACTAGTACAAATGTATCAGAAAAAATATAGTGTTATAGTAACATTCTTGGAATAAGGGGCAAACATTCTGCTATTATGCCGAAGAAGTTCTACCATCTTTTTTAATGTTTTACAGTAACATTAACATATCACTTTACTTCTGCACTGCTCTGCTGATTCTTAAGTTTTAATTTTCCATGCGGGTTTTGTTTTCTCAACGCATTACTCTTCCTTACTCTTTACACTCACTTACAACATATGACATAAACAACACACTACCATTTGTACTCCCTAAAAAACATACTTACAACAAACCAAAATGTATTACACTTATTGCACACACAATCAATATGGCAACAGCTAATTAAACACAGACTGCATGTCGGCACTTAATTACACTCATTTACGACAATGAACTGACTCACCTTATGCCAACTATGCACTGGTAGCATTGCACTCACTTACATCACGCTACCTATGTATTATACTCACTGACATCATGAAAACTATGTATTGCACTCATTTACAAGATGTCAACTATGTAATGCACTCACTTACATCATGCCAACTATGTATTGCACTCACTTACATCTCATGTCAACTATTTACTTAAGTCATGCAAATTATGAATTGCACTCGCAGCATGCCAAATATTCATTGCGATCACTTACATCATGTTTACTTTATATTGCACTCAATTACATCATGCCAACTATGTATTGCACTCACATTATGTCAACAGTGTTTGACACGCACAAACAACATGTCAACAATGTATTACATGCCAACAATGTAAACTGTATTTTCATATATTTCAGGCAGCTAAAGTGGTACATCTTCTCGTGAGATTTATGCCGCGTAAAATATTTCTTACCATCGCAGCAAATAACACAATAGGTGTGTTTCCTACAAGAGATTTACCGGCAAATTTATTCCCAGAATTCACCGAAAACATGCCGTCTATTTGTGGAGGTAATATAACACAGTAGCTAATACCGCTTCATTTGTATAATGAACTTGTCCAGCAATGAATCTGGAACAGTTGATTGCTATATTCGGGTCGGGGGTTAAATCTAAAAATAACACGCTTATGAGCACCTGTATGTTGATTGCAATAATGGTGGTGATGATGATGATGATGATGATGATGATGGACGATCGCAGTAATGCTGCTTTTTCTACTCATAATTACCATGATCGACTTAGTAATGTTCTCATGCTTAATAATTGAAATGTTGTTTTTGTTGGGTGCCTATATCTTTATTATACATTAGGCAGAGTGCATGTATCATTATTACACACCGGGCAGGGTGCATATATCATTATTATACACTGGGCAGGGTGCATATATCATTATTATACACTGGGCAGGGTGCATATACCATTATTATACACTGGGCAGGGTGCATATACCATTATTATACACTGGGCAGGGTGCATATACCATTATTATACACTGGGCAGGGTGCATATATCATTAATTTACGCTGGGCAGGGTGCATATATCATAATCATACACTGGGCACGGTGCAAATATCGTTTTTTTACACTTGGCAGGGTGCATTTTGCACTGGAAAGTGTGTACAAATCATTATTTTACACTGCACAGGGTGCACATATCATTATTTTACACTGCACAGGGTGCACATATCATTATTGTACACGGGGCAGGGTGCATACACTGGGTAGGGTGCCAATATCATAATTGCACACTGGGCAGGGTGCAGATATCATTATTTGGCACAGGACAGGGTGCATATATAATTATTTTACACTGGGCACTGTGCATATATCATTATTTTAATAATTATAACTGTTTGGGAACCGCATATCATAATTATGTCTAATGGTATTTTTCGTAATCTATGGGAACCTTTTATGTAACTACCCGTCTGTACTTGAAAATGAATATCAGAATATTTACGCTGATTTTTACGAATCAAACAAACAATTATAGACCGATGTTCTGTTATATCTGCAGGAAAGTGTGGCATCCAGTTTCAAAATGACCAACAAGTGGATTGCTCACCGTGGTGTACCACGCCAGAGTACCCGTACCAAAATACAGCATATTCTATCAATTACCTTTGGGCTTACGGAAATTTCTCAAGACTCTTTGTGGTTGAAACTAACGTAGTTTGTGAAGGATTTAATCCATCAGGTAAAACTCTAATGACAGTTTTTTGACGGCATCTAGTAATTTCCAACAAAATTGAATGCGGCGGGCTAGGACAGAAAAATATTTCATTGGCAACTATAAACAGAGAAATGAAAATATCGGACGTAAAAATTAACTGATTGATAATAAAAACTTCACGCTTTAAAAAATATACCAGGATTTCTGTTCATTTTCGCTCCAAAACTTTTGTTAGTGACGCATGTTTGATTACGTATTTAACTTCCTGTTAAAGGAACTCCAAGGTTAAAAAACCTTTAAAAAATCTTACAAAGATCGACTGGGCACTAAAAATAGAAAGATTTGCTAAAGATAACACAGATATACTCAGAAATAAATTATATATCGTATTTCATTGGTATGGTTAATAGCTAGATTTGAACGCTTTTCAGTTTTGGGTCATTTTTTATAATTGCAATTATTATCCTGGAAAAAACGGAGTAAGCGGTTGAGCTGAAACTTTACACATAAGTTATTGGTCTAGACTACATCAAATAGAACATTTATCTCGAAAAAATATTTCTATTCCCATCATGTCAGGGAAACCTTAGTGGACTCCCTTTAATGTCGTTATTTCCCTTTAATGTCGTTATTTCTAAGTAAATTCATTTTTCACCATTTATTTAGATGCTTTTGGTTCATGTATTGGTGGATTTACGAGCTCTGTTCACGGAATCAAAACACGCTGTATATTTCATAACAAAAAAACTAATTTATAACCCTTGTCATATAATAATGCTGTAAGAGTTTGTAGAAAATGCTATAAGAAATAAAGAAGTTTATGTAAAAATTAATAAATCTTAAACAAAACTGGCGTTAAATTCAAAACATAAACATAAAAAACGCAATAAACGCATAAGAAATAACACTTGACTTTCTATGGCGCTTTTTATATATTGCTTAAATAAATCTACATTGTTAAATAAATTACAGGCTCTGAAAACCTGCTTATCAGAGAGTTTGGATTTATGCTGATGACCCGAATATTGGACAACAAAACTGTGACAGATATAAAGAACGCGTACACAGCGGCAACAGCTAACTTCACCTGGGCTGGTGTGAAAAATGAATATGAATATTTTATGCTGGGGACATTGGCGTGGTTTAATGGCGCTGGCAGAAACAATCTACTGAGTATGTTGTTTTTATGTATTCAGTGTGCTAGCTTCTACATATGTTAAGATAATTAAAGGCACATTAAACTTTTTTCTTTCTGCAGATATGGCAAAATGTTTGAATACTGGATTTAGAACATGTAAGACGCTTATCACATGAAGAACACATTTGAGCCGCGTCATGACAAAACCAACATAATGGGTTTGCGACCAGCATGGATCCAGACCAGCCTGCACATCCGCGCAGTCTGATCAGGATCCATGATGTTCGCTATCAGTTTCTCTACTTGAAATAGGGTTTGTAAGCGAACAGCATGGATCCTGGTCAGACTGCGCGGATGCGCGGGCTGGTCTGGATCCATGCTGGTCGCAAACGCATTATGTTGGTTTTATCATGACGTGGCATATTTCGTGATAAATGAAATCAAATTCTTTTTTTAAAATTCAATCAAAATACTAAATCATTATAACTTAACTAATTGACAAAGCAAAAGAAGCAAAAGATAGTTTAGCTATATATGTGTGACCATTGAGCCAACATGTAAACTGTAATAGGACACCAAAATTTACAAAAGCTTTTGACATATCAAACTATTTTCATTTTTGAGTCTTAGTGGGCCTTTAAAAAGGGGCCTTTTCCCCCTAAATATCAACATTTGTCCATTACCATTATATATATACTCGTTAACTGTTAAGGACAGGCAAATCTCCCATAAGTTTTGCCTGTTATGACCTATTGCTTTTTTTGCTTTTTTTTGCATAATTTCTTGCACTGAAAATAGAAAAGTTAATTGTACAACTCTTGTTTCATTCGGAATCTATCTGGAATGATTCTTTTTTTAATGAACTTTGTTTCGGGTTTGGGCAATGACGACTTTCCAGTTTTACTAGTCTGATGAAGAAAAAATCCTCAGAGCCCCTCACTCCATTATTTCAAAAACGAGTGATTATAATTTAAAAGATGTAATATTTCTATTTCAGAGGGCATGGCGTGCTTGAATATAATAGGAAGTAACGGACGGAATCTGTGTTCGGATGCCTATGGACAAAGGCAATTTATAAAACAGAGAGATAGTAAACTTTACAAGCTATTAAATTATATCTATAATAACAACAGAGAGTACGTGAATGGGGATACATCATTATGTGAAAAAGCGAATAACATCCCTTAGTTGTGTAGTTGTGAATACTATTTCAATATTTATTGACTGATATGCATATCAAAGTTGAGTATGTTATTAGCGTTCCTTGCTTGTTTTTTTTTTAATTTTTATTGGGGTAGCCTCCCTTTGAAATGGTTGACCAATTTGAAATGGATTTAACTCCCTTTAGAGCGTTGGAGCAGTTACTATCTATAGACGCTCGCAGTAATCATGCTTTATAACAGTTACGTGCAGTAAATGTAATAATGTTATGCACCTCGCCTGGTATAACTGATAATGATGTGCTGTAAATGTAATATTGTGGTGCACCTCGCCCGGTATATCTGATAATGATGTGCAGTAAATGAAATAATGTTGTGCACCTCGCCCGGTATATCTGATAATGATGTGCAGTAAATGTAATAATGTTATGCACCTAGCCCGGTATATCTGATAATGATTTGTGCAGTAAATGTAATAATGTTGTGCACCTAGCCCGGTATATCTGATAATGATATGTGCAGTAAATGTAATAATTTGGTGCACCTCGCCCGGTATATCTGATATGATATGCGCAATAAATGTAATAATGTGGTGCACCTCGCCCGGTATATCTGATAATGACATGTGCAGTAAATGTAATAATGTGGTCACCTCGCACGGTATCTGATAATTATGTGCAGTAAATGTAATAATGTGGTGCACCTCGCCCGGTATATCTGATAATGATATGTGCAGTAAATTTAATAATGTGGTGCACCTCGCACGGTATATGTGATAATGACATGTGATGTAAATGTAATGATGTGGTGTACCTCGCACGGTATATCTGATAATGATATTTGCAGTAAATGTAATGATGTGGTGTACCTCGCACGGTATATCTGATAATGATATGTGCAGTAAATGTAATAATGTGGTGTACCTCGCACGGTATATCTGATAATGATATGTGCAGTAAATGTAATAATGTGGTGCACCTCGCCCGGTATATCTGATAATGATATGTGCAGTAAATGTAATGATGTGGTGCACCTCGCACGGTATATCTGATAATGACATGTGCAGTAAATGTAATAATGTGGTGCACCTCGCCCGGTATATCTGATAATGATATGTGCAGTAAATGTAATAATGTGGTGCACCTCGCCCGGTATATCTGATAATGATATGTGCAGTAAATGTAATAATGTGGTGCACCTCGCCCGGTATATCTGATAATGATACGTGCAGTAAATGTTATGATGTGGCCCAATTAGATAATGTATGTATCTTTGGAATGTTTCATGACATATTTTACAGATGATAATCTAATCAAGCACTATTGCTATCATGGATTTAGAATAAATGATATTTCTGCTGATATTTGTCATAGACATGATATTAGAAGATCGTTAGTTTAGCACTTAGCCATACCTGTCGAGTGCGAGAGACACGCATTTCATGTTCGAATCACACTCCCGTGCCAATATTAAATTTTCAAATGCAATTTCAAAAACTTGGAAAAATATTTATTTCTGTCGAAGAAATAACCAAAACTGACCAAAGATTTAATGTTTAAAAGTTATAAGCACATTTTTATAAAAACAGAGTTAATATATTTTAATATTTATAGTATATTTGTTAAGCATATTAATTTTACCTTGAATGTATTTGGGACTCATAGCTAGATTTGAGTGTGATAGAGTAAATGCTTGGCGATTATGTTGTTGTTGATACGCTGGTTGGGAATCTGCTTAATTGGCAAATAACTCTAAGTTTTAAAGGGTATAAATTGATATGTTATGAAATATTTTTATAAAATACATTTATACAGTTAAATAATATTGGTTCTATTATTCCCGAAAAGTAATAACATAGAATGTCTCTGTTATTTAACACACATGAATTTGTACGTAAACAGAATAAAATGTTCGGGAACAAAAATATTATTTTGCTATTTTAAGTAGGGTTTTATCCGATTAGCAATGACTTTGTGTCTGCGCCACTCGCTTTAAGGCAATTGATTGCCATTTTTATTTCATCCAAACATTTGAACTATTCCTTTTTTTTTTAAATCCGAACAATAATTTTTGCATCAGCTATATAGCTTTATACACTTTAAATGTCTTGTAATCAACACAAATATAAATAACAAATAAATCTTGACTTCAAAATTAATGTCCTTAATGGTTTCCATATTAAGATTACTTTGTACTAAATCACAGGTATTCCTGGCATAGATTATTCAGCAGAATATTTTCTAAGTTTTTAGTTTCAAGTCCTAATTCTGCTGTCCTTTTTCTTCATTAAAGTACATGTATTAATACCATCATTGTGGTGGCAAGAGAACACATGCCCCGGACTAGTATTTAACATGTATAGACTCTTACAGTGAGAGTTGTTTCAGATAACTTTAAAGTTATATTACAATTGATCATGCATAATCATTATACCAATGCAAACTTATAAAGTTTTATAGTAAAAGCTAAGACATATTAAGTCCAGTTTAAAACACGAGTGAAAATTAGATATCTTAAGCGGATGATAAGGTTTATACAAAAAGTTCTGAAAATATAGGTTAAAACAAAAAATATTAATTTCTCGCGGCGGACGTAAGAAGACTGTGACGTAAAAGTATAAAACGATGTTAGCTTGGCACATATGCAAATCAGCAATTGGGCAAATTGGCATGTCCCTGCCGGCATTCCATGGTATCCAGTCCTGTATATTTTAGAAACGTGCCCCCCCCCCCCCCCCTTTTGTATACATAATAATGCTATGTGCAGTCCGATAATGCTATGTGCAGTCCGACCACGTACAGCGTGGTGGTGCGTTAGAATCGGACAAGTAAGTCTGAAAACTGGTTTAAACATTCTTTTTGCAGCAATGATTTTTCAAAGTGCATAGCTTGTTTGGACATAATAATAAACACTGCTGGGAGACTCTTACATAATATCAAGAAAGTATTGAGATACTGGTAAGACGACATATTCTCAGTTAAATCCTATTAGTATAATATGTAGTACTATAACTTTAGGGTGATTAAAGCCTTGGAAAAACCTAAGGTCCCGATGATGAGTGGTTGTATTTCGACCGGCTTTTGAAAATTTGGATTAACTACATCTTTGCTCTTTGCGCCAATTATATCTGATGAAAACTTATATTTTTCGACCGAAGGCCGTCTGATTTCACCTTGACTTCCGCTAAAATTAACAGTAAAGAAATTAATATAGGCAGAATTTTCATTGGTCATTTTAACACTAATAGCCTGTTCGATTGATACTCTAGAAGAGCTTCCGTTATGGGTAGAGGTATGTTGGATTGCGCGATGGCAAGAAGTGTTGGAGAAAGATATAAATCAGAATAAATATAGAAACACAATAATGATATTTTCTAGATGTTTTCTAACAGCTTTTCAATAAATATATGAAATTAAATATGACAGATCGCCTCTTTGATACTTTTGCGTTCGATCGGGGTTCTCTTCTAAGCTGGTCTAGTCATTATATTCTCTACTCGTACCGGGCATATAACGATTGAAACGAACTTTCAACTTATTTACAGTTGCAAAATTCTCCATGGAATTAGTGTACAGTATCTACTAAATCTTTGTTTTATTATAAATTCCTATTTAAATCAAATTCCATTTTGATTAAAATCAAATAATGAAAGTAATATTGTTTAAATCTAATATGACAATTAATGGGGGAAAACATTGCGGGTAAAATGAACTGAAATAAAACTATTGAGGACAAGTGGTTAAGGTCGTTGATTTCCAACCACTTGCCCCTCACCACTGTGGGTTCGAATCCCGACAGGGACTTTGTATTATTTCATGTGAGGAAGCTACCGTATAAGTACTTATTTCTGCGGGCTTAATATTCTGCGATTTTGGTTAAAATAAGGTGTTTTAAATTTCTGCGTATCTTATTTCTGCGGTGTCATCATTCTCGCAATGATGTTTTTTATTTCTACGTTTTAATTAAGATATTTTAAAAAAAAATTAACCGATACAAACAGACAACATTTCAAGATTTGTTGATGTAAAATGTACATTACTTCCGGTAAACATGCAGACGACTTATAATGTGTGTTCATCGTTATCACCATGTATTGTTATATAAACCTTAATAAACAAAAATCAACAACGTGCAATGACAACAATTAATTGTAATGCATGTGTATAAATATGAAGTGTGAAAAATAAACAACGGTAATATCGCACGTAGACACACTATAGTGTACAAATACAAAAGGGTATGTTTATTGCACCCGTCAAACTATAATAGTTTTATTTTAAAATAAATCAAGCCTAGGGTAATGTAATTATACAATACAGGTAGTTGAAATATTCCGACATACATAGCGAAAGGCTTAATTTTCTGCGGTTTTTAAATCTGCGGTGTCGTTATAAACCGCAGAAATAGCAGAAATAAAGTTCCCGCAGAAAAAAGTACTTATACGGTATCCAGCTAGCTTACGGAACGTCGGTGGTTCTACTCGGGTGCCCATTCGTGCCTGAAATAATGCACGGAAGGGCTCCTGAGGTCTTCCTCCATCAGTAAAGCTGGAACGTCGCGACATGACCTACTGTGTCGATGTGACGTAAAACCCAAAACAAACAAAAATTTAAAATATGCTGATTTTGTTCACACATATTTTTAGCAGACAAGGATACTTTCGCGTTTGTACTTTTCACGCTGTCTAAACTGGAAAACCCTTTAAAGTCAAAGTCGTTAATTTTCCCTCGAATTTGGCTTGAATCTGATTCATCCTAATAACGTTGCATATTAAGTTCGATCATATACCGACGCTTTCCGGTTTGCTTACACGGGTGGTTGGTGTTTTCAACTCTGAAACTATGGGAAGCCATTGCTGCCAGAATAATTTAAACTTGTGACATTTTTTAAAGAAAAAATACATTTCCTAAATAATTGTAAATTATGAAATATATCATACAGGTGTAATCATTTAAACAAACAAACAATTTATTTCAATTTTATATGAATTGTTGATGTATATATAAACAGGTAAAGAATAATTTCAAAACATATTTACAAACAATAATGTTAAGTTTTCTAAAACTTAAATGAAAGTTACTACAATTGTTGTCTGAGCTCAGTTTTTGAAACTTGTACTTATTCTGTATTCACATATGTATCTAATACATTTTACTAAACTTTGAAGGATCTCAAACACGTGAATCCTTTTTGCACCAAGATTTAAGCAAACATTCCGTTTTCGGATGACATCATCTGAACTTCAAATCAACTTCAACACTACATGTGACTTATGTCCGACAAAAACAAAATATACGAAGACCTGGATAAGATTGTTCAATACATCTAGGGGCGTCATTATATCGATTAAGTCTACTTATACTCCCAACGTCAATATCTATTACGTCAGTTTCCGTATTCATGGCATACGATACTTCAAACACGCCAGAACCCGGAGCAGTTTCAAATGTCACCTGGTATTGAATAAGTTTCTTTGTGGACACTTTGTCATTGAAGACTGCAATACGGTTCCAACTGCTTTTGAATTTTAGCACCTTGTCGTCGGTTTGTAAAGAAACCGCTCTGATGATTTTTTTAATGGAAAGCTCGTGGCATAACGATAAATGGTCTTGCAATAAGCTATTAAAATAAGACAACACTTTTTGTAAACTTCGGACTAACTTTGGGTCGGAAACGGAAATAGTTTCTGATTTTTGACATGCGCACCAATGCGCTTCTATTTTAGCGTCTGCACAAGTCCGCTCTAAAGGTATTGGAGAAAACAATGAATAAACCGATCTATTTAATTTTGAATGATCACCTTTTTCACCAATTATTTCCAAAAGAGTCTCATGAACGTCCGATGGCACGGTCAGTCTTTTTGTATTTTCTTGGAAAGTTTTATACTTCTCCGGAAATTTTGCACGATATTTTGGAGGGACGAAAAGTCCAAAATACGGCAGTCTTTCTTCTAATTTGCCTTGTTCCGTCATTCGAAATTTTCCGAAACGCTGGCCATGATCACTCATCAAGATGACAAATGTATTGTCAAGTTTTCCGTCGTCGTGAAGATATTTCAGAAAATCGGTAGTATATTTATCGACGGACGCCATCTGATTATACCCAGCATGAGTGTAATTAGCAGAGAACCCTACTGTAAAAAAATTCTCCCCCTTGTGTGTTTCAATTGCTTCTCTAAACCAGTCTAGGTATACTTTATAGCTTGACCTTTGACCTATGCATTGACCCTTGCGTTCGTATGGCTTGACAGCAAGGTAAAATGGTCGCATATAATGAGTAACTGGCTGGTCCTTGAATCCTAGCAACCTGTAATGAAAAGCACCTAGACGCGTCCAGTCTTCCGCCCATTGAGTAAAATACGATTTTCTTTCATACTTTTTCCATATAAAATCTAAGTATTGATCCACAGGTTTGGCACCAGGATACCCACGCCGTACTTCCGGTATTTCTATTTCTCGCTTCCCAGAGAGCATTGGCATCATGGCAAACGTGGTTCCATCTCCCACAGCATTGTAACCTTCAAGTAGGGAGCCGCCTAGAAAACCCGTAAAATATTCGTGAGTTTTCGGCAAAACTCGTTGAAACATCAGACGAGATAAAGAATCTAATCCGAGAATGATGACATTATATCTATCGGTCTCCGATGACGTAGTCTTGCTGGATTTGGGACTAGGTTTTCGTGAGATACATGCATGAATGTTTGAATATATTTTTCCATCATTAGCTTTACACAGCACTTCAAATGCATCAGTCATTAGATCGGTGTTGTTAAGCATTGGATAAACAGGTTTTAAACGTTTAAAATTATCATTTGAATTACCAATCGGTGTATACGTACAATTTATCTCTCCGTGACGTTTAACTACCGACGCGGAAATATAGAACTTTCCATTTCCGGTGTAAATCCATTCCTCTTCCATTCCGCAATTTGCAACTTCATTTGTCTTTATTAAACTCTGGTCAAATTCCTTCCATTTTGACAGTGTAGGATGGACGCACGCCTGTTTCCTATCATCTTTAAGTTTGACGTCACTATGTTGGACCTCTAAGTTAGTAAGCACATAAGTTTCAGTATCCGGTTTCGTTTGGTAAGATGTAGTGTTTGTGGTGATATAAAGACACGATAGACAAAAACACAATCCTAGGAATAGAGTGACTTTCCATCTTTGTTTCATTTTAATGTACATCATCCTCGTCTTGATCTGGAAAAAAACCAATCAAGATATAATCTGCAATCTACGGTGTCCCGTTAGGGTCATCTTGACACACATAGTTCGGAACAACGAAAACGTGAAATTTCGATGCTGATGTCAGCTAGGCTATATGGAATTAAATTTAGTTCACGAGGAATAATGAATCATATAAAGATCAGGATCATAACTAAATATAACTGAAATACTTAATTAAATCGATTCAAAATATTTGAAATTTCATAAATTTTTGATTTTTGTAATTTATCATGATGTTTCGCAAAAAAATTATTTATTTCTTGAAATAAATCTTTCAATATCTTCTGTCCAAGAATGTATAAGAGAACGACTGAACATATGGTGAGTAACTATAGTCTAAAAACATTGTAAGCAATCGCAACTGTTCGGCGCTTTCCGTCAGTCTTCAGATAAGGACCTTGAACACAATCCCAAATTGTCGGTCCTTTTCGTCAGTCTTCGGGTAAGAACACCGAACACAATAGTAGTAAGAATACACAGAACGGATACGGTATTTCGGTCTTACCTACGCTAAGAAATAAACATACTGAATGCATTTAATACAGTATTCGAATATTTTATAAACAACGGAAAATTCACTCGATTTGGACATAAGTCAATCAACACGTTAATTAAATAAACTTTTGTAAAGGCAGCTCGTCATAATCATCATTATGACACTTAGTATTAAGTGATTATCTCTGGTTCGTGTTTTTCACACCTCTGCAGGGGAGAGAATTCGGGAGCGACGAAAAATTATTAGTCGAAATAAACTAAGGATAATAGCGTGAAAATGACTGTTGGGGCTGAAAGTTTACTTCGAGATACTGAAAATATCGAAATAAAAATATCGAGATAAACAAATGTTTCCAATATAGATAAAGAAGGAAGAAAATCGGGACTTTCAAAAAGTTATCGAGATAAAGAAATATCGAGAAAAGCGATGTCGAGATAACGATCATAGTTGACTGTTTAAACGAATAGTAATTATATGCTTGAGGTTGAACAATAAATCGAGTGAATGTCCACCTAAATTAAATAAATTTACAGATACAACAGTAAAAAGAACATTATTTATATACTTATTATTGAGGTTGTAGAAACCAAAGTACATATTATCTACCTGTTGACATTTATACGGTTATAATTGTACATCTTTGAGCATTTTTAAATTGATTATGATAGTCAGACATATGTTCAGTCATAATTTTACAGGAATAGACTTTTCTCCATTGGATGTCAAATAAACATTCGTTATACGTACATTATCAAAGATTACACCCTCTGTTTTTGTTTACAACTAAAACCACGTGATAGAACTACTTTCAATACGTATTAAGTCCTAGGTTATCATTGATAATAGCCGAGATGTTCCGATTGCATTGTAAGTTTTCGCGTTGCCTTATCGAACGACAGCGAACTTATTTAATGCCAGAATTGTTGTTTTTTCCCCCTGTTATAATTGGTTGACAATTGATTCTTATTGTCAGACATGTTTTTCAATCATAATTTTACCGAAATTGACTTTATTTTCCGTTGGATCTAAAATAAATACATTCGTCTGCTGTTCACGTGATAGAGCAGTAAGTCCGATATTATTATAATTAACCGTCGAGTAGTTCCGATTGCGTCAATCGTAACTCTTCGGACTTTTCCGTCAAACTTCGTATCAGAACCTGGTTAAGGATAAGCGTATAGACGTGGGGAAAGGGTGCACGAAGGCAAACTTCGGCCGACAATACTTTCCTTTCATCAGCCATTAACCTTTCTACAAAATACCGTGCCTTTTGCCCTTCTTTTAATGTCAATGAAATCAAAATTCAAAAATTATGAAATCGATATTCTTTGGAAAACGTTTTCAAAAGGTTTACTTTGTTTGTTAATATAAATACAGATGTATGAAAAATGTCTGAACGTTTAATCGAAAATACATTCAAATGAATAAACTTTTAAATTATAGCGTTGATGTTAAGCGATTAAAGTTAAATGTAAACAGATTTGACACTTTTGAACGTAATTGAAAGTGTGAACCATTTCGGTATATGTAATAAGGTTTAAATAATATAAATTGGGATAGGAACATTAGAAACTTGGTGAAGTAAAAATAAACTTGTATAGCGCTGATGAATTGATTTTTAGTTTGGCGATGATTTATCTAATGAAGACGTATTTATAAATGTTTAACAATCTAAACTTTATAAGAAACGGTTTCAATTACTGGAGAGAAAGTACGTTTGTTAAGTTTTAATTATTGGCAATAAACTTAAAATGGAATATCATGGCGGTTAGATGAATTATATGTTTGTTTGTTTTTCGTTTACTATGATTTGCTGAACTTAAAAAGTGAACCATTACTCGGATAAGCATAACTGACTATGTACAGGGAGAATAAAATGCCGTACGGAAAGACGAGATCTGTGACGGGTATCGGAGATTATACCGACTATGACGCCATTAGAGAGGCCAGGACGAAATTTTACAGCAATCCTGGCAAATACACAAGGGAAAGAGAAAGGAGTTACCATACTGACTATTCCAGTCCACACCATAGGACTTCCGGCAGAGTGGAAGTTGTGATTGAACACTGGTAAGTACGAAGAACCTTTTTTCAGTCTATAGATTTATCAAATTTATTTTACATGGACTCTACTTGGTCCTGACCTTAAGAGGGCTTCATTACACGATCCAGTAGATGAAAAGTAGGCAACATAACCACTAAACCAACGTTACCATTATTTCTTTTATCCGAGAAAGCTCTGAAACTTGCCATGGGAAGGTCCGATAAATTCGAGGTGTCAACTGAATTAATTGTAGTGTACATTCAATGGTTGCTCTTTATGTCAATATAAAACAGTTTTAAGAAATGGACGGAAGAAAACATCCAATTACAAAAAAAATGTATATTAATTTTTATTTATTGGGTCATTGGTCCATATTAAAGATATACTTTGCTCATCTTTGGGTAAAATATTTCATGGGAAATCATGGGAATTTAATGAAATATATGAAATTCTTACTCAATATGTCTAATTTAAATAAAAGAATGTACAAACTCGGATCAAGTAAAGTTGGTCAAAAAGAACAGCGAGTTTGTTTAAAGACACTATATGAGCCTCGTCACGACAAAATCAACATAATGGGTTTGCGACCAGCATAGATCCAGACCAGCCCGCGCATCCACGCAGTCTGATCAGGATCCATGCTGTTCGCTTACCAACCCTATTTCAAGGAGAGAAACTGATAGCGAACAGCATGGATCCTGATCAGACTGCGTGGTCTGGATCTATGCTGGTCGCAAACCCATTATGTTGGTTTTGTCGTGACGCGGCTCATATATTCATAGTGTGGACCTGTAGAGTTTCAAACGTAACATACTCGCTACTTTGTGTGAAGACAACAAAATATGTTTATTTTATATTTACAAAGAGACTGTGCAGCAATTATCAATATTTTCAAATATCAAAATTGAGTATAGTATATCTTTAAACATTTTAAAGAAAACTAGAAATGTGTTCATAGGACACGGGTGCCCCCACACTCCACTGTTTTGTCAATCTTATGACTCTAGGTCAAATATTTCTTGGGCTACATGTGCCACAAGTTGAAAACTAAGAATCTTTTACTAAGTAAAGGGCAAGAACTTTTCAAATACTGAATAAATCAACAAGCAAACCCCAGGGTGCATAAGTACACATGCTGACCAACATTTTTGTTAACTTTCAGGCCCACGGGTCAAATACTTTTCTACATGCGACACAAAATGAGAACGGACGGATGGATGGACGGACGAACGGACAAAGGTTAATCTAACCCCCCCCCCCCCCCCACCCCAAAAAAAAGTGGGGGCACAAAAAATTATAGCAAGATTTTTTGTGTAATTTCAGGTCGGGTTGTACCGGAGAGAGGTTAGTAGACAGAATAAAATGGGACATAGAGGACTACTTTCCAGACACAAAATTCACCGACTTTTACGGGAGAGAAGGTTAGTTAATTTTTACAACATAAATATAAAAACAAGTGTATAAAGTTTATAAACTCAGCTGCGGGACTTTCAGAAGTGTGTACATATTCAAAAAATATTATTTATTTAATTAGTAATGTATTTATTTAGTCATTTTATAATTACAGACTCATTTGAAGTATTTGTAAATGGAAAATTGATTTATTCAAGAATAATGCAAGGCGGATACCCTTACGAGGACGAGGTATTACATTATATTATACACATGTGCATTTTGTTAAAGTTTGTTGTTTTCAATATGATAGAACCGTTTACAATATCTTTGATGCGAGATAAACATATATGAGCCGCGTCATGACAAAACCAACATAATGGGTTTGCGACCAGCATGGATCCAGACCAATCTGCGCATCCGCGCAGTCTGATCAGGATCCATGCTGTTCGCTATCAGTTTCTCTACTTTTTATACGGTTTGTAAGCGAACAGCATGGATCCTGATCAGATGCGCAAGCTGGTCTGGATCCATGCTGGTCGCAAACCCATTATGTTGGTTTTGTCATGACGCGGCTCAATTATGTCATATCATGTTGGTATGGGGGGGGGGCTTTAACAAATTACTTAAAATTGAGCAGCCAGCAATAAGCAGCCTGGTCCGACAGCACAGATGTGCGTGTTTGTCTGTTTCTATACACAATGGTTGATCAGTTTTGGTTCCAACAGTGTAAGAGTGAGTAGAATTATAAATTGCCCGAAAAATGGGAAATCTACCGTTGTTTTTGTACGTATATTTTGGCTTAAGAATAACATATGATAAAATTACATACTTTTTTCAATATACAAGGATAATCATTATTATGGCAAATCTTCACTATAACGTTCGAAACCATGTGCTTACGGCCTTGACCAATTTGATTTTAATGAACGCTATTAAACCTGTACTAGAAAAAACACTATCTGTCTCTGTTGATTATTTCAGGTCTTGGATTCAGTTTGGAGAGCAAAGCACGGTAAAGAATTATTTCAAGTGGACAGATACAGTGATCCTGGCGCGTGTACCATTTTATGACGTCATCAAGATATTTGTTTACAAACGCATACGCGTTTCTTTATAGTCATATTTATTATTTACTTTATTGGATCGTTTTTGTACATTGTATTATGAGGATATTATACATTGTTGAGTACAATACTGAATTCTATTGGACTAAAACAGAGCTGTTAAACCTACATTGGACACTACCTTTCTGACATGTTTTGTTAATCTTGTACAATAAGGATTTGATAAGAATTTTCTGACGAAGTTTGATAAAGTCCGGTATACATTTGATATAGATATTTTGGACTCCAAAAATGAAAACGAGGCTCTATTGGGTACGATATGCATATGATATAGATATGTTGGACTGGAACATCACATGATACAAATGATAACAATTCGTAAAGCGTGAAGTAAATAGCTTTAGAATATTCTTTATTAAGATAATATATTTAGATATAAAATGTGATTTCTGCAGTTGCACCACGTGATGCATATGCTGTTTTCGGCTGTTACCTAGCTTGTATTTTTCTACAGCAATAAACAAGTTTCCATGCTGTTGCTAAAACTGATTAAACAGAACAACTTCGAGTGTATTTGAAAAAAGTTTAATTTGAATTTGATAAAATTATCGTACCATTTCGAAAACAAGCAGTTGTCATTTTAAAATGACAGCGATTTGTAATATGTATAAAATTGTTATATAAAGGGAAAGTTTAAACATGAAGGGGGAAAAGTCTTATACACAGAATTCTAATTTATATATTTTCTATTATTTATTTGTAGGACTAATTTAAATGCGCGACAGGAACTGAACAGAATATCTATTAAAGAAAAGGTATAAATATACATGTGCATGACTTTTTTTCCGAATAAAAGTAATTGTTAACTTTTACTTTGATTTTTTTTTTCATGGACGCATTCAAAGACGGTGATTTATCAACATGTATTTACAAAAACGGCAGCCTTCAGCGCCTTATAAACAATACATTTGAGCCGCGCCATGACAAGACCAACATAGTGCATTTGCGACCAGCATGAATCCAGACCAGCCTGCGCATCCGCGCATGGATCCTGATCAGACTGCGCGGATGCGCAGGCTGGTCAAGATCTATGCTGGTCGCAAACGTACTATGTTGGTTTTGTCATGACGGGGCTCACTTTATATTTTACTTTTCTTTCTTATCTAACAACCAGCAATCATCGGTGTATTCCGTATGTGCGAATTATACACCATGGGTAATCAAATATGTCCCAACTTTCGTGACCAGTTCGGTGTTTTGTATCGCCAAGTTATTAACGATTCGTATTGACACGAATTTGTAAGTAATGTTCAATAGAAATTCCAGCTTAACATGACAACATCCGTGTACAGTATAGTGAAATATGCGCACCAAGGAAATGAGAAAGACATTAATATAAAAGAACGTGGATAAACCTTTTTCAGTTGATAATTACGATACCTAATTTAATATGGCAATGCCTATAAATATATATCACCGCGATATCGTAATCCATATTTAACATGACAACATCGCGATACATATTTTTGCATAGCAACATCGCGATACACAGTTTTTCATGACAACATATTTTACATGGCACATATTTTATATTTCAATATCGTGATCCATATTTTAACATGACAGCATCGCGATACATATCTTACATAACACAAATATTATATTTAAAATATAGTGATCCATATTTAACATGACAATATTGCGAAACATAGTTTACATGACAATATCGCGATACATACTTTATATATGACATTATCGCGATACATATATTACATGACGATATTTTACATAACACTGGTGAATGACACTGTGGCCAAATAGTTGTTACTTTTACAATATGAATAAATGCAAATAGCAAACAAATTTTGTTGTTTTTATGCATACACGTTGCACATCAATTCTCTTCTCTTGTGATTTGCAACAAATTCAGTTGTCTTGAAAACTGACCAAGGAATTTTGGTAGTTCATAAAGGCCCATAATACAGACAGAATAAATTTTAAGAGATATGAGCTTAGAAGTAACCTTTTATTATTACCCTGAAAGACATGATTGTGTTTAGAATCAAGTGAGGATATTCAATAGTTTTTCAGCAACTGATGTTGCATGCACCACTTCAACCAGGATTTTTTCTAAGTTCACAAAGGGCCGTAATTCAGTCAATCCATGGCAGGAGTTATGGACCGTGGATAGTGACCTCCTATAATGCCCTCAAATAAGTGTGCGAAAGTAAAAGCAGATGTAAAAGAGGTTGCACGTAAAACTTTAACCGAGTGTTAGGCCGACACAGAGGCCTCTTGTATAGTACGATAGTCCCACAGTCGAACACCTCGGCCTTTTCCGTCAATCTCCGTAAAAAATATCTATACACAAAGTCATAACGTCTCGAGCTTTTTTATATTGCATTTTTACATTTATGATGTTAGAAATTAAAATTAAAGTATATTTTTCAATCGTTGAATTCTCTATTCATCTTATTTATCGATCTTGATATCAAATACTCTACGGATCTTTGATACAGAATAAAACAGAATAGATTCTTTTCATCTTTTTTTTAAAAAAATGAATACATGTTTACGCATATATAAATCGCTTTAGAAATATACATTCACCTATTCGGTGTTTGAAAACGTCTTTTGAATTTGTTGAATTAACAAATTTTGTACTTGGTTTATTTAAAATATACCAAATGTGTTAAATAATGTAAGTTGGCTGAAGAACCATTACATCTAGACGTGAGTATTTAGAAAAATTAATATTTGCGCAAATACATTCTTTATTGCAGACTTCCAAAAATCTGGATAATTCAATTATCTTAAAAACGTTTCTTAAGGAGAATATACAAAAAAAAGAAAAAAGGAAAAAGTTAAAATCAAAGCGCTTGAAAGTTTGAATATTGTGTAAATCACTTACAATGTACTTTGTTTTTTCTGTAACATATTTTTTACATTTTGAATAGGCGGAATAACTATGACAAGTCTTTAAATATGGGCATTGGATATTACCTGAGTGATAAAATAAGAATTGTTGAGACCGCGTCACTACAAAACCAACATAGTGGGTTTGCGACCAGCATGGATCCAGACCAGCCTGCGCATCCGCGAAGTATGATCAGGATCCATGCTGGTCGCAAACCCATTATGATGGTTTTGTCGTGACACGGCTCAAATGTTTTAAGGTATAATAATAATAACGACTACAGGTCCCGCCATATGGACGAGACGGCAAGACAGAAGGGTGACTACATCGATGACCCGGATGAAAATGATGATTACGGTAGGGATAGATTACCTCGTACACGAGAATCACGTGCCAGAGGAAAACAAGTCCATGTGTTAGTAAAACATTGGTGAGTTGGTTTTTGTTTTAAACGATAAGTCAAAATGGATCATGGGTTCGGGCCCTAATCGGGTCACGACCATGTTTCTTCATGTGACACCAGTACTGGTTCTTTTCAGGGAGCGGACTCTAAAGGGATTAATATAAGTCGCAAGAACTTGTTTCGCTATCGAGCATTAATAAGTATGTTTAAACCGATGTATGAATTACTTTTCCGTGAAAATAATGAAATATTTATATGAAGTTAATTTCTGAACTTTCATACATAATTTTGTATAAACTTATTTATGCAAGGTGCGAGCGAAAAGAAATATCGGGTATTTAAAACCGTCTGAGCTATTCACTTTAAGCTGCATGTCTCCAGATGAGCAAAACTATTTAAAGAAAGTCAACCTTAATAAAATGCTCTAAGATTTTGAAAAGTATAAAAATATTCACAATTCAAGAAATAATTTATTGACTAATTTGGCAATATTAAACACTATATTTCTACCTCGTGACAAATGCAGTAAGGGCTACTTGTTTTGCATATTCTGTCCTTTTCTGGGGGATAGGAGTACATTTTCTGAAGTGCCGTTTGCAATGTGTAAATTACTTTTTGTTCACTTGACAATGTATTTCTTTTTAATACATTTTAAAACTGTTCATGAAAATAGCATGTATTTGGAGGCATGCAGCTTTGAAATTATCTTTTTTCTAGCTATGTACTTATGTGCCAACTCATCCAGTTGTAACCACGGCCTATCCAACTCGGGCAACGGCGGGGAACAGCGGGCAAAACTCAATTATTCTCCTTTGTTTATCCTCATAGATGAAATACTTAAATATTAACTTGAAAAAATTGGACTTAAAATAGTAGTGTTTATGAAATTTCAGAAGTAGATCTAATTAATTGTTATCTAAAAGGATATAAGCATTTTACCATTGATCAAAATATTGATCTTAATTTCTAAAATTGATCATTATTTTGATCCGATTATTTTTGTATTTGTTTTGATAATTGTCGAATTAATCCAATCCTAAAACAAAGTAGTTTCATTGCATTATACCATGCTTATGTATCATTCTATTTGTAGAGAAATACGATTAATTTAAGCTTTATTAAACAATGAAAATTAAATCAGGATCATTTTATCCTGATCCTGATCATTTCTTAGTGAACACGGGACCAAGTGTTTAAAAAACCAACGTCAAAGTCTCCGCTTTTCCACGGGGTGGGGGTGGCACAGTGGTTACAGTTGAGTACTAATTGTGCATAAGAAATTTATTAACAAAGTCCGCTAATGATCGATAAGATGTGTGAATCATAATTTATTTATATTGTAAACTTTTTAGCCAGGATTGTCAAGGTTATATTATATTTTTATGTGATAAGGTCTGGATGAGTAGGTCAGGGTGTTTGTGACAATCTTCGGCAGGCAATAGAAGATAACTATGACGAAGCAGACGTATCATTTGAAGAGAGAAATGGCGCAATAAGTATAGCATTTGCTTCAACATTTGTTAAGCTGTAGTTATATAAGTGACCAATTAATTTCTGTGACGTACATTTTTAAGTCAATCTGACTGGCCAATCAGGTTAATTGTTTACAAATAGATAGCATTAGAATAGCCAATCATGTGTTACATATCATACAGCCATTGGTCCTGGCCTTTCCTTTCCCCCTTTTTTTTTGGGGGGGGGGGGGTAGTGTGGGGGGTGGGGTGGGATTGAATGGCTAGTTAACAGCTAACAGGCAATTTGAAGACTAAGCATGCTGTTACAAAGGAAATAGTCCACTCAGCATGTGTGCTAAGTTTGACCAGTAATGAAACATTTTTTACAGTTTATAGCAAGTTGAACTTGTAACGGGAGGCTTTTCATTGAGAACAGCCATTGTTCACAAAATGCTCATGCGACAATGGATTAAACGATATTTTTTCTGCATGTTTTTGCGTTGAGATTACAAAATAAATTACTATATAATTAACTTAATTATGATAACTTTTTTTCTTTCTTTTTTTTTCGGCAGTCTCGGGATGAGAGGTACATTATACCTTGTCTAAGGATAAACACATATAATAGCTCTTAATTGACGATATGATTTAGTCTTAAGGCATTGAAGGTCATGTTTTTTTTATATTCAGAGGACCTAGATATGTTATTTGTGTTATCTTATATTATGTTTTTTTTCCTGTTGTTGTTGTTTTCAGGGTTTTTTATCACATTTTATTTTTTTTATTTTTTAAATTTTAGTTATTCTTTTTTATCTTATTTTATTTTTCATTATTTATTTATTTTTTTTTTTTTTTTTTTTTTTTGGTTTATTATTATTTTAATTTATTTTTTATTGTTATTATTGCTATTTCTTTTCATTTTATCTTTATTGATTTTCAGGATCTTTTGAGGTGTACGTCAACGACAGTTTAATGTATTCAAAACTTCGGAACGGCGGTTACCCATACGAAGATGACGTCAGTGATTTCGTCACCATCCTTATAATTTTTTATATAACATCTTGTATTTATAACATCTTGTATATTTGGAGCATTAATTCAAAATCTATGTTGATAATTTTAAAATGCTCTTCAAATGATTTTAAAAAAAACAATTTAAGTACATATAAAAAAAATATTGTTCACATGTTTTTGAAATTAACGATAAAATGAAATTTCGTGATTCCATAGGTCTTTTTAATTGACTTGTCTTAACCTATATAAAAATGTTAATGATATAAGCTTTCAGGTTATAGCCTTATGCTTTCAGGTATTGCTTGCAATTGAGAAAGCCAAGCGAGGGCACGAAGTCAAACTTGTTAGGAGCGGAAGGTCCATTCTCTGTTCGATTCTTTAGAGATAATGACGTCACAGATACCCTGCACGAGACATAATCATTCCGGAGAAAAAAAAATCAATAGTTTATAAAAAAAAACTAAGTGTTACAAACTATGAGATGTACATATATTGACAACATTTGTGTTAGCATAGCCTACAATGACGTTTCACATCGAAAATTAAAGTGATGTGGGACTGAAAAAATGCACGTGCAAACACAGACACTTGGGTGTGTAGAGCTCAAGTCACCTTTAAAATCAAAATAAAATGCATATTTGTCAATCCCAGCACATGTACTTATCATATACATGAAAAAACTTAATATAAGCCGTTTTTGGAAATTTCATATTTCAACGTCTATAATAATACACAAGATAAAAATGTTCGCCGGAAAAAAATCCGCACACCTACTCTCAAAATCACCATGTATATTTTATTCCATTTCCAATATTTTCACATAATCCTTTGATCCATCGACACAGAATATATTATTCTCCACGATGATGGTCAAATTTAAACTTCAACATAAATATAAATAACGCAACAGGCGAAATAAACATCAAAATTATCGCCGTTTTACTCCGTTTTCAAAAAATCTTGAAATCAACAAATTCAAAATTGGCTTCCAAGCTTTGTTGTATTCAAATGCGCCGCGCTTTGAAAATCGGAACCAACATATTACCGAATAGCTCCGACTATAGCCAGACTGGTTCTCATCTTCAAAACGCGGGCATTTGAATACGGCAAAGCTGGGACATTAAGCACATCAAAGTGTGTATAGTTGATGAAGAGATAACAGTCAAAATAAGTTTACATTTTGCTATATATAATTCTCTTGGCATGAACAATATAAAATAACTCACGTGACCCACGGATATTTCTATTAATATCCGACTGAATTAACCTGTTACGTTCAATTAATGAAAAGGTGGGCAGTCTTTTTTTTGCATATTTTATATTTTATCCTAGACATTTTTTTTTCAATAAAAATGTGAAAATTATTATAGGAATTTAAACAAAATTGTTTTCTTTAAAAAAAATGAATTATTTTTTCACTTTAATATATTTGATTTTAAAAATAGTATATGTTAGTCTAATGCCAGTGAAAAGCGAGGTAATCATCTATCAGGACATTCGTGAAAATTCTGGTCAGTCAAATGTATCAGACATTATTTTAAGTCAGGTTTAATGGGTATTTTCTATTGGAAAATTGATATGAGCCACGCCATGACAAAACCAACGTAATGCGTTTGCGACCAGCATGGAATAGTGTGTTTGCAGCCTTGCGCATCCGCGCAGTCTGATCAGGATCCATGCTGTTCGCTTACAAACCCTATTACAAAAAGAGATACTGATAGCGAACAGCATGGATCCAGATCAGTCTGCGCGGATGCGCAGGCTGCAAACACACTATTTTGGTTTTGTCATGGCGACGCTCATATTGAAGTGTGGCCCTCAAGCGTCATGGATATTCAAATCCCCGCTTATACAGATAGTACATTTATTGCCCCCGCCGTTTCGAACATAGAAGGGGGGTATACAAATAGGGTCTGTCTGTCTGTCCGTCCGTCCGCCACACTTACGTGTCCGGTCCATAACTATGTCATTTATCAAAGGAATTTGTTAATTTGGAACTTGGCACAAATGTTTGTTATAATAAGACGATGTGTCATGAAAAAGACCAGACCCCTTATCCTAGGTCAAAATCACACTTGGTGATTAAAAGTCAACAGGTATATATTGTGTCCGGTCCGTAAATTACTTATCCATTAAGGGATATTGATAATACTTGCTACAAATATTCACAAAATGAGAACATGTGTCATGCGAAACAACCAGTCGGGCTACCTTAAGGTCAAGTATCGTGATACATACTTATATATGACATTATCGCGATACATATATTAACATGACGATATTGCTATATTTTTATACATGAAAATGTCGCGATACATATTTAACATAACACCTGTGAATGACACGGTGATCAAATAGCTGTTACTTTTTGCAATATGAATAAATGCAAATAGCAAACAAATTTTGTTGTTTTTATGCAAACGCGCTGCACATCAAGTCTCTTCTCTTTTGGTTTGCAAAATAGTTGTCTTGAATACTGACCAGAGAATTTTGGTAGTTCATAAAAGCCCATAATGCAGACAGAATTAATTATACTATAGTGACCTCTTGTTATGACACCGAAATACATGATTATGTGAAGTTTCAAGCGAGAACTTTTTTATATTTTTTCTCAGCAACTGGTGATACATACAGGACTTCAATTACAAATTTCTAAGGTCACAAAAGGCCATAATGCAGTCAAATATATGCCAAGAGTTATGGACCGTGAATAAGTGACCTTTTATGCTCTCAAATAGGTGTGCGAAAGCAAAAGATGATGTACAAGAAATTGAACGTAAAACTTTCACCGAGTGTTACTCCGACATCGACCCATTAAGGCTTGGGAAGTAGGATAGTCTCATTATTCTTCGAACAGTCGAGATAAAATGAACCATGACCCTAACAAATAATGTGCCCTAACTGGCACGCAAGGGCAGCATCTAGGCCTTTTCCGTCAATCTTCGGTAAAAATCTAATTATAAAAAATATCGAAAAACTGGCCTGCTAACATTTCCACTTTCCATACAAAGTCATAGCGTCTCAAGTTACTTTATTTTGTATTTTTACATTTATGATGTTGGAAATTAAAATTTTACTGTAGTTTTTCAATCAATAGTATAATACCTATTCATCACATTTATCGATCTCGAAACCAAATACTTTACAGATCTTTGGTACAGAATTAAACAGAATACCTTCTTTTCATCTTTTTTAAATTAATTGAATACATGTTTACGCAAATACAAATCGCTTTAGAAGAATGCATTCACCTATTAGGTGATTGAAAACGTCTTTCGAGCTTGTTGAATTTACCAATTTTGCTACTGGTTTATTTAATATATATCAAATGTGTTGAATAATGTAAGTTGGCTGGCAAACCTTCTAAACGGGAGTATTTATAACATTAATATTTGCACAAGTACATTAAACAGTTCAGACCTCCGAAATCTGGATAATTCATTTATCTTATAAACGTTTCTTAAGAAATATATATATAAAGAAATAAAGAAAAAAAGGAAGAAGAAAAAAAAACGTACTTGGAAATTTGAATATTGTGTAAATCACTTACTTTGTTTTTACTGTAACACATTTTTAAATTTTAAATAGGCAGAATAACTATTACGAGTCTTTAGATATGAGCGAGTGATTTAGATAAAATAATTGTTTTAAGGTCAAATATGTTCTATAATCATTACGACTATAGGTCGCGTCATATGGACAAGAATTATTATTTTACGAAAACTGATGAAAGTAAAAAGGGGGACTATGATATATTACGAATAAATCACGACGAGACGGCAAGACAGACGGGTGAATACATCGATGACCCGGATGAACACGATGATTATGGTAGGGATAAATTACCTCGTACACAAGAATCATGTGCCAGAGGAAAACAAGTTCACGTATTAGTAACGCATTGGTGAGTTTGTTTATATTATAAATGAGAAGTCAAAGTGAATACTCGTATATGTGAATTTACTGTTTCGTGAAAAATGATAAAATATGTATATAAAGTTAGATAATTTATGAACTTTCTTACATCATTTTTATAAGCTTTTTATGCAAGATAAGAGCGAAAAGAAATATTGGATAATCAAAACCGTCTAAGCTATTCACTTAAAAGCTGCACGCCTCCAGATGAGCAAAACTATTTCAAGAAAATAAGCCTTAAGAAAAATGCTCTAAGATTTTAAGAAGTATAACAAAAGCTGTCGGTAGGACAGTAATGCTCGACTATTCTTAGTGTTTGATAGTAAAAGTGCCTTGATAATGTAAAATTTTCTAAGATAACAAAAGGGCAAAATGTTTCTTTAAATCCATGTTACAGTAATAGGCATTGGAGAGAGTCCTATTTTGCTCTCAAAGAAGAGTATAAAATTTCAACTTGTTTCAAAGCCAGATCTCGATAGAATATGAAAATATCTGAGGTGGTATGCAAACTTAAATGTAAACTCTAAGTTGAAAAAAGGGGCATTATTCTGCCAAATGCTTTATAGAGTTACCCTCTCCTGTCTACAGGAACCATATGTCAATGGATTTTAAAAATATATGAAGGGATACAAAAACTTTAAATGTAAATTCTAAGTCGAAACGGGGGCATAATTATGTCAAAATGCTTGATACAGTTACCTCCTCCTGTCTACAAGTCATGATGGTGAACTAGTGTGCAAAGTTTCAGGGCAATATGTCAATGGACTTAAAATATTTGAGGTATTACAAAAACTTTAACCAAAATTCTAAGTTGGAAAAGGGGCATAATTCTGTAAAAATGCTTGATACAGTTATCTCCTCCTGTCTACAGGTTGCTATCGCTCCCGTCGAAGTTTCTAATTTCTGTAGATCAGCACAGGTGGACACTAACATTTACATAAAATCCGCTCATTTTCGATAAGATGTGTGAATCATAATTAATTTATTATGTTAAACTTTAAGCCATGATTATCAAGGTTTTATTATATGTACTGTTCTTTTCATGTGATAAGGTCTGGATGAATAGGTCAGGGTGTCTGTGACAATCTTCGACTAGCAATAGAAGATAACTATGACGAAGAAGACGTTTCATTTGAACAGAGAAAAGGCGCAATAAGTATAGCATTTGTTTTAACATTCTTTTTCTATATAAATAGTTGCTTTAACCCATTACCCGATATACACGCCTTTTAACGCCTTCTTCACCCCCTCCCCCTATTTGTTGTCCCAAATGGTGAAAAAATGTCTTATTTAGGCCCCCAACACTATTTTCGTTTGAGAAATTTTGCTTAAAAAAGTGACCGCTTTTACGGCGCCGCCTCCCATCTAAAAGATACATCAGGGGAATGTGCCCCCTTCTGTTTGGGGGTTAGGAGGGCGGCAGTCCCCCTCATCGCCAAGAAAATTTTGGACTTGTGAGAGGCTAAAATGACCCCAGATCGATCATAAGGTAACGCGTAACCAACGCTGAAAAGCCTTTGACTTTGACTCTATCTCAATCCATTGGGAAGTTGCAGCACTTTGAAATCAATTTTGATGGAAAAAATCAACGCAAAATAGTGATTTTGGCAATTTTGAGATGTCCCCTCGTTGCCGTGGTAACAGGAAATTTAAGACTGAGCATGTCGTTACAAGGCAATGGTCCTGTCAACATGTGTGCCAAGTTTGATAAGTATTGAAGCATTTTTGATAGTTTTATAGCAATTTGAACTTGTAACTGGAGACTTTTCAATGAAAACAGCCTTTTTTCACAAAATGCTTATAAAGAAATGGGTTAACGACCATTTAACATCAGAACTGAAACTAACCGACGAATAGATTATTTGTTCAAAAATAGATAGCAGTAGAATAACCAATCGGCTGTTACGTATCATAAAGCCTCTGATACACACCTTTCTTTTCCCTTTTTTTTGGGGGGGGGGGCAAAATTAAATGGCAAATTAAACGATATTTTTCATTTTATTTTTATTGTTTTTCAGATTCCTTTGAGGTGTACGTCAACGACAGTTTATTGTATTCAAGACTTCGAAACGGCGGTTACCCATACGAAGATGACGTCAGTAATTTCGTCACCATCCTTATAATTTTTTATATAATATCTTGTATTTATAACATCTTGTATCTTCGGAGCATTAATTCAAAATCTATATTGATCATTTGAAAATGCTCTTTATATGCTCTTAAAAAACAAGTTAAGTACACATAAACAGAATATTGTTGACATGTTTTTAAAATTAACGATAAAATGAAATGTCGTAATTTCAAAGGTCATTTTTATTAACTTTTCTTAATCCATATAAAGAATGTTAACGATATAAGCTTTCAGGTTATAGCTTTATGCTTTTAGGTATTGCTTGCAATCGAGAAAGCCAAGCGAGGACACGAAGTCAAACTTGTTAGAAGCGGAAAGTCAATTCTCTGTTCGATTCTTTAGTGGTGATTGACGTCACAGATACCCTGCACGAGACATTATCCTTCCGGAGAAAAAAACAATAGTTTATATAAAAAACAAAACTATGAGATGTACATATATTGACAACATTTGTGTTTGCATAGCCTACAATGACGTTTCACATCGAAAATTAAAGTAATGTGGGACTGATAAATGCACGTGCAAATGCGATGTTGGAATTTACTTATCTTTGTGTTACTACCAATAAAATCACACGACATCATCTATCACATTTTTAAAAAAAAGAAATCATATGAGCCGTGCCATGACAAAAACCAACATAATGGGTTTGCGACCAGCATGGATCCAGACCAGCCTGCGCATCCGCGCAGTCTGATCAGGATCCATGCTGTTCGCTATCAGGTTCTCTACTTGTTATAGGGTTTGTAAGCGAACAGCATGGATCCTGATCAGACTGCGCGGATGCGCAGGCTGGTCTGGATCCATGCTTCTCTCAAACCCATTATGTTGGTTTTGTCATGACGCGGCTCAAAGCATATATCAAAACAAATGCTCTTCTTAATTCATATAGACAAGCAAATTTTGATATGTGTACGTAATTTTCAAGTATGTGATAGCCCCGTCTTAATATGACGACTATTACAAGTGGCAACTGAAAGACATGGGCGACAATTCGATTCAACTAATTATAACTAACTTTTTACTCTCCCTTTTCGAAATATTGCAAAAAGAAATTCAAAATTCAGGTTTTATCAGCCTAAATCTTTTGGCGTTTTAATCGATTTTTTAGAACTTGGTCTATGATTTCAAGCTATTACTCGTTATTGCCTGGGAACTCCTTGGTTATCGTTCATAAAATATCGCATTTCTTCAGCCCTTTCCGTCATTGTTCGGATAGGAACTATTATTGATAATAGCCGAGATGTTTCGATTGAAAGATAGTTTGACAGAAAAGGCCGAGAAGATCGATTGTACAAAAAACGTTCGTTTATGTTATTGCTCATTCTTTTTCCTGTGTGCGTGTGTTTTTAGATATTTTGTTGTTTATATGTTCGTAACTTCGTCCGTATGTTATGTCGTGTTTTATTTGATCGATTGATTGATTGATTGATCGATTGCATATCAGACGTTTCTGTTAGTTTTACCAATGCCTGAAATTTCATCTGGCATGGGGGTGCCAGATGAGTCGCGTGCTGTACAATGACATGCTTAGGATGACGTCATTTTACCGTTATGAATAAAGTTGTTATTTCATACACTGTTGTGAGAAAATAGTTACGGGTGTAATGGCATGTATTTCGACGAAAATTTTTTTGTTTAAAATATTTTGGAATATGGTAGAATATGCAAGAAAAAATATGTGACACACTGAACAACCCTGTTGTTTAATGCAAGTAAAGTCACCTTCAACATAGATTCTCCCGTTTAAAATACCAAAATTTGCATTAAAAAAAAAACAATTAAAACATCGCTATATCCATTGCAAGGTATACAGTCAACACCTTCATATTACTGTATAGTATTGTAGCTGATTTGGAACGCTTTTGTGCGTCGTGTTGGCGCTAGCCAAAGAGCGCGTTGTTGGACTTTCGTCTTGTCGTCATGTCGCTAACGATGTACGCCAAACGGCGAGTTGTCGTGCGGAGTGTTGTCGCGATGTCACACTGTCGCTCGGTTCAAATCAAAGGATTGGCATATAAGCCAAGAGACAGCGCGACAACGCGCCGTTTGGCGCAATAACGCGCTGTCGCTAGCGACAAGACGAAAAATCACATCTTTAGCATGAATACTCAATTTTAAGGTAGGTGTAAGGCACGGTGCATATCCATATCGGTACCCTCTTTGCAAAATCTGCTGAAACGGTACCCTCTTTGTACATGCACAGGCCATTCTCTGCTCAAAACAAACCAGCAATGGATAACAATACAGTAAAAATTCATTGTAATAAGGAAAGGAGGTATGACACATAGAAAAGATGTATACTACGGAACACTAGAATGTTTTATCTATGTGCTGATTTGTCATGTGTCCGTTTTTCATGTTCACAACTTCACAATAAGCTACAAAAAATCGACATGTCTTGTCTCGTCCATCACCTCGACATACTTTTCGGGCTAAAATGAACCTATGGCTTGATTATATATGCATCATACATATCTAATATGTTCATTTACATATCATCTTCGGACAAATGGCAGTACATTGTCAAAAATAATGGTAAAATTCATAAAAACACCCTACTGTCAGTTTCGCAGCGGCACGGGCTACCTCTCTTCATTTGAATTTTTATATCACAGGTACCCTCTCATTTTTTAACACATACGAGTAGGTATACTCAATGCACGACATATGCTTTTATTTTCGTTAATTGTTAAGTATGTAATATTTACATAAATAAAGAAATATTACATACCTAACGATAAACGCAAATAAAAGCATATGTCGTGCCTTGAGGGTACCTATGTGTAAAAAATGAGAGGGTACCTGTGATATAAAAAGTCAAATGAAGAGAGGTAGCCCGTGCCGCTGCAAAACTGAAAGTAGGGTGTTTTTATGAATTTTACAATTATTTTTAACAATGTACTGCCATGTTACCGAAGATGATATGTAAATGAACATACTAAATATGTATGATGCAAATATAATCAAGCCACAGATTCATTTCAGCCCCAAAAATATGTCAAGGTGATGGGCGAAGCAAGACATGTCGATTTTTTGTAGCTTATTGTGAATTTGTAGTACATGAAAAACGGGAACATGACAAATCAGCACATAGATAAAACATTCTAGTGTTCCGTGGTATACATCTTTTCTACGTGTCATACCTTCTTTCCTTATTATATTGAAATTTTACTGTATTGTTATCCATCGCTGGTTTGTTTTTAGCAGAGAGTGGTCTGTGCATGTGCAAATAGGGTACCGTTTCAGCAGATTTCGCAAAGAGGGTACCGATATGGATATGCACCGTGTAAGGGGTATTTTTTATAAGTAAGTCTATGAAAAAAATAATACAGTAGTCAGGCCTTAAATAGAGTCATACTCGAGTATTTAAATCCCTTTATTTTGATACACATAGATACCATATAGAAGTTTCTCATAAAATACAGTTTTGACACACTTTGAGATGAGATATTGAAAGTATTGTTGATCTCTTTTAATGCATTTATGGATAGACAATCTTTGTATAAAACTGCATCAAATTGAATAAAGAACTTTTTGTGTGGTCATTCCATCTTCTTTCAATTCAACAAAGTTTCCAGGACAATTTAAGGTTTTTATAGATAATAGCCGAGGATGTTATGATTGCAAAATATTGTTCTTGAATTCGGAACACCTTGCCGATTACTATTTATTATTATTGTAAATCTGACCTTGTCCTGAAAGGACCGAAACGTTGCGATTTGTATGTACATGTATATTTTGTCCTTTTATCGGATAAAGTTTAATTCGATTAACTAGCGGTAAAGTGCACTGGACAATGCTGTGCATTGTAAAGCGTTTAAATATAGTTTGGAATAAACTTGGGTTTGATTTATATATTTGTCAAACAAAGTATATTTGCCTTTCATCAATTCTATAGCACGCATTATATTTATCATAACATTCATAACTTCGCCATTTCAATTCGAACGAAAACAAAATTGATACTATATAATATCACATGAAAAGAAAATCTTAGTACAGTTTGGAAAAAAAGTAAAAAAGTAAAGATTTTTTTTCATGACGACGTTAATACCATTTGAGCCGCGCCATGACAAAACCAACATAGTGCGTTTGCGACCAGCATGGATCCAGACCAGCCTGCGCATCCGCGCAGTCTGATCAGGATCCATGCTGTTCGCTATCAGTTTCTCTACTTGTAATAGAGTTGGTAAGCGAACAGAATGGATCCTGATCAGACTGCACGGATGCGCAGGCTGGTCTGGATCCATGCTGGTCGCAAACCCAATATGTTGGTTTTGTCGTGACACGGCTCATTTCTGTTGCGGTCATTTATTTCCATGTTCAAATCACAAAAGACGTCTTCTCAATTACTGCACGGTGCAGAATTTTCTTTGTAAAAAATAAATATCCAGTTTCTTATAATTGTTTACCAAATTTACTGAACACCAGTAAGTGATTTCTTCTAAAAATGAGCATGTTGAGCAGTTAACCAGTTCGATTATAAGAAATTGTTGTAGTTTTAAATTAACCACTTTAAAGTCGGTCTCGAAACTAACCAGCACTCGTCCAAACATATTTATTTTAGTTCAGTTGCGAAACAAGTTATTGCAACTTATATCAATCACTTTCGAGCCCCCTTCCTGGAACTAACCATTACTTGTGTTATGTGAGAAACATGGTCGTGGCCAGGTAGGGTCAGCACCCTCGTAACCCTTGACTGGTTCGAACTCTTGACCCCCATGAATTGTGAGAGACGCCGTACATCACAGCTTCCTTTAACTTTATTTGCAACGGAAGCGCAAATACTTTTACAGCCATTACTAATTGTTATTTATCTATCTACTCATTATTAATTTTTTTCATTTTTCCCTTTTCTGTCAAAACAGCAAAATAAATCAAACAAGAAAAGAGCATTACCTTTTTTACATATAATTTTATATGTCCTTAGAAATTATTCAGAGATGACGCAAATACTGTAAAAGCCATTATTGTATTAATTTGCTAGCAGAACAAATTTAACGAGAAATGAGTCTTACCTGTTAATTGTGTTTCTTTAGATCCTTAGAAAATTTATCAGAGATAACGCACTTCGATCGAATCACTTCAATTGTCACTTTTATCTCGTTAAAAGTCCATAGTTTCCTTACCAAAATCGATTACTTTTTAGTCCGTTTGTGTTAAAAGTTCTATTTTTACTATCTAACTGAACTGGTAAACGTCCAAATATAGATACGGTTTATAATGCCACTTTAATGCCCCCGGGGGATTACGTGGATTATTGTTAATGACAATGGTCAGCTAATCCTTATGGCCCGTATTCAAAACAATACAATACAATACAGTTATATTTGTTTTAAACATTATAACAACGTTTCTAGCATAATAATATACAGGTAACATAGTTAATAGCAACAATATGCACACACAAAAAATGTTATGAAATATGTGTTAGCGGAGGGATATTTGTTATATGACAAAATACATGTATATAAATCTTGATTTGATTTTTTTTTGTGAAAAAATACATAGAGAAAGATAACTTCACAAATTAAGAGAACAATGTTAATTACCTCTTTTTTGAAAGGCAAAGTATGAAAATTTTGATAAATTTTGAGTCATTTTTCTAGAAATAGATGATATAGTACTTTCAAACTTTGTGATTGTTGGCCAATGGCAATAATATTTTGGCAAATATTTTATTCTTATATCTCTATAGTAAGGGCAGACCAACAAGAAATGATTTTCGTCCTCAATTGGAATTACAAAAGGTACATAGTCAACTTTGCCGGGGTGTGTCATCATATCTTCTTCCAGTTTCAATGCGTAAATTATGTGCTGATATTCTGTATTTAAGGAGTGAGCACATTTTATACACGGAATGATAAGATACAAGTAGTATGAACTAATCGGTGTGTATTCAGCTTTTGGGATATCAGTACTTTTCCAAACTTATTGCTGCCAAAAAAAAAAGTCAATTTATACGATTTCCAGTTCGAAGTTTCTTGAATTTCCTTTTATCCATGGAAATAACTGTTGCCGTGTTTGTCAATATGACCATCAATGTTTCTGTCTATGATCTCGGATGATTCGCGTCTAAATATAGGCCAATATAATTGTTTATGTAATAAACAAATGTCATTTAGTTATTTATATGGTGAAAAAAACGTTTGCAATGATATATTAGTGATACCAGAAGCAGACACATACCTGATAGAACGCGCTCAGAGAATCGTGGGAAAAAAAAGAAAATAAACCCCGTCCGATCCTCGTGTCGTACCGATACTTTAGGGAACGTGAAGTCGTGAGGCTTAAATCATACGATAAAAGCAGGGAATTGAAAGCCGCCGGCGTCGGAATGGGATACAGTTACCGAAAGCTATCAGAGATGCAAGAAACCCATTGTGTGACGGCATGGACAGGAAAGACGGTTATATACGTTGGCAAGTTCTGCCAAGGTTGGTACATTTATTCACTGTGTGGAGCATGGCCCTACATGGCACGGGCTATCTCTCTTCATTTGAATTTTATATCACAGGTACCCTTGTAGCAACGCTATATGTCGCAACGCCGCTATATGTCGCAACTAACGCTAAATGTCGCAACGCTGACGCTATATGTCGCAATCAATGCTATATGTCGCAATCGTCTACCGCTAAATGTCGCAACGTTGCCGCTATATGTCGCACAAAAATCGATTGCCGCTAAATGTCGCAACCCCTTGACGCTAAATGTCGCACTTGGTGGAAAAGTCAAATCAGATCAGGCACATTGACCGATTGGTTTCCATTTATATTTGTAGCAAAACTACCTTTCACAAATACATATGTCGCATTAACAGAGGTTATATCGGTAACAAAATGAAATTAAATATAAGCCGCGTGAATTCATATCGCTACTGCGTGATGTGTCTAGTTGGTAGCGGGACACTTGAAGGTCAAAGGTTAAATTCGAGTCCGCTTCATAACTTTTTCATTTATTATGCTAATTTGATCAAACTTCACACAAATGTTCACCGGCATTATATATTGTGTCCCATGCAGCATCAAGGTCCCTACCGCGTCAAGGTCAAGGTCACACTTGAAGGTCAAATTCTTGTCCGCTCCATAACTTTATCATTTAGTATGCGAATTTGAAAAAATTTCAAACAACTTGTATGTAACCCAGGCATTCCGCAGCGTCGGTCTATTTGAAGCATTGTCCTTAGCACCACAAACAGTTTTCTGACCAATGAAAAGCACACACGTCACAATAACATCAACTAGTTATAACAGAAACGTGATACTTTAATATAATATGTATAATTATACAAGCGTAAAATGGCTGCGAAACAATTGTTTGATGGAAAGACATGAAAAACAGTTATTTAAAAGGCAGATGTTGAGTTTTACCAAATTGCTTAACAGCATGTAAAAAACAAAAAAAATGTATTACTATGTTACACCACGAAGTTATAAATTACAATCTGATCTTAACATTTTACTGGGTTAAAGGGGAATCGTTACTATAGTATAGTTATAATAGTAAAATATTTCCTTATCACACGGTTTATTTGATTGTAACGGGTCTGATAAAAAACTTTAATGCGTTAAATATAAAAAATATACATTTCTTCATAACGAACTTGTTTTCTAGTTTTAAAGCAAAAAAATTAGATGGATAGTTTCAGATATACATTTTGTATTATGAGAATGTAACACATTTTGCGTGTTTGTCCAATACAAAACAGTGTCCCTTTAGATCCAGACAGGTCAGGTAACAAGATTCTATGTCTCATCATTTCCTGAGCTTTATTGTCTAGTTCCATGATATTTAGTCTCAATTACCTACCCCCCTATACATGAAAATCTGAAATCGTCCAGTCCATTGGATGTTTACGGACATGAGAAAATACTTTCTTTTCATTTGACAAAAATGAAAAATAAAAATGTTTTGCAACAATGCGAGAAATTTAAAATGTTGCCCGAAAGTGTTTAAAATTATGTACGAGACATTTTTTACTTACTTGTGTTTTTATTGGGAACTCGCAAAATAAATCGTGTATTGCCGCAGTAAATCATGTGTGTTATATAAAATCATTAAGACTTGATGCTTCGCAACCCGAATAAAGGCACTGTGACGCCGCATAGAAGCCCTGCCGCATAAATGGAGTCATTGATGCGAGGTGATTTTCCACGCATAATACTGCATAGTGAACACGTTTATGCGGCTAGGCGCAATGCATAAAGCGAAAATTGCTTTATGCGGCGCAACAGTGCCTTTTTGCCACATATAAAGAGGTTGAACCTGAGTTTATATATTTTCAAGCCAAACAAAGTGTAGTATTAATATTTCAACAATTTTCGATAATAATTTATCCCTTAAACAGGGATTCCATTGTAGACTACTGTAGAACAGTTCTAACACATTAAGGTAAAAGAATCTTATTTTACAATTGTCTTGGTTAAATTGATGGATACCGCTGTGTAGGAGCACATTTGTCTCGGAGCACATTTGTCTCACGAAGTGTGACCAATGTGTTCGTAAACATTCATATTTTGCGACAAATTGGAAATGAGACAGATGTGTTCGACACACAATAGAAAGGACAAGCGACTCGAAGCACATTTGTGTCACATATATTCCATAAAATTCTTAAAAGGTAATAAAATAATGTCCATCTGTATACCGGCTACCAGCCATTGATCTGTGTGTTCTGTATTTATAATACCGTTTTTAGGTCACTTCCGGTCAGTCAAAAATTTCCTGCCACTGCAAAGGAGTCATATATTAAATTAAAGAATATCCCTGTTCTGCATGTCACAATGAAAATTTCCACAAGTACAGCATCCAGAACCTAAACACTTATGCAGCAAGTCTATTCTTATCGTTGGCGTCCGCGCCGAAGCGCGGCGCCCTTATGGAATGAAATCAGATTTTGTGAAAGGGCGACAGCAACTTCTCGAGCCTTATTATTAATTGTGATACGTTTATTTTCAATATTTAAAGTTTTATAAATGATTTATGGCACTAGAAATATTCTTAGCAAAAACAAGGTAGTATCTACGGTGGCATAAAGGGGACATAGAATTTCCTTTTTTATTACGTGCGCACACGATAGCTTTTATGTGGCCACGCGATACTATTACGTGCGCACGCGGATATGTAATCCGCATTTGGACCCTGACCGGGATCCTCGCATGAATAGTTCGACGCCCCGTGTATGTGTCGAACCTACAGCGGTTAGGGCTAGTGAGTTTTTGGAATCACTCGGCCACGGAGGCCCTTAAATGATCTATGGGAGAAAATAAAGACCATTACACACGTATTTTGTTTTGATCAGAAATATATGTATAAAAATATCGCCATTTTCCAAGAATTGCGGCTTTCAGATCCGCTATTGAAAAAGCACTTACAACATGCATGAGTTCCTAAAATAATCCGGGTAATGCCATAATAATAGAATATCGGGCCACTCAGAATCGGGTGAGACGCGACTTTCCGATGAGACACGAAGCGAGGCACGATATTGTAACACGAGATCTCTCAATGTCGAAGTATCCCGTACCACGAAATTTCAGAAATGAATAAATTTTCACTTCTTTAGAGAGGGCAAGTATGAATTTATTGATATTCAAATAATGATTTCTAAGGATTTCTGCTTGTAACTCAAAGAAATTCGCGATAAATGTGAAATAATGCGTCATAAAAGTAGCAAAATGTAAACAAAGTAGTATTTTGACTTCAATACAAAATTCTAAATCACTTCAACGGTACAAACTGCAAAAAAAGCAGCAGATGAAAAATGCTTCAGGTAATTAGCCAATGAATAGCTTTTTGGAGCTATAAAAGTATACCAAAAATAAGAAAGCTTTTGAGGAATACAAATAAAAGCATTTCTCAGGCATAATGGGCCTTTAAGTGATTCTACGTAGACTATAAAGGGTATACGACTTAGCGGTATATGACCCAGTCAATTTCTTGTCTCGCGTCGGCGAACGAGATGCGAAGCGAGACGCGAGATTTCGGCGAGATGCGAAACCAGTTACGATATTGTATCATTCAATATCAACCGATTACGGTGTTCCGTTTGGACATAAGTAACATTTTTGTCTCCATGAACAGCTATGCACAATGGTACAAAGGTGAAATTGAGATGGTACGATGATTAAAACACGATGGCACGATGGTGAAATCACGATGATGCGATGACACGATAGAG